GTATGCTTGGAAGATTAGGGTGTAGCACATGCTCCATTTCCTCAGATATACCAGCTCATTTGATTGATACTTGTTGTAATTTTTTTAAGATTTATTTTTTCAGTCTTCTGTATTTCAGCATATAATATGATCATTTCGATTTTGGCAGGACAGGCAGCGAAAGTTATATGAAGAACATAGAAATTTAGTGCAGCAAGAAGCACAAGCAAAGGCGCAAAAGATGCGATATGAAGATGAATTGGCCAGAAAAAGAATGCAGGTGTTAGGAATAACCTCTTTTACAAGTGTCTGTTGGAAATATTTGATTAAGACGAGTTTGTGATAAATCGTCCCGTTCATAGAAGGAAATCATTACTTTGATTGTCAACCAGCATACTATATGCTAATTCATTTTCAGCTTCATCACTCCTGCTTCTCTTAAACCTTGAAATGAGTGTAATAAGACATACTTTGTTGTTTATTTAACTGAAATTAAATGAGGGATCACCACAGTTTATGCAGGCAGTTGTTTTAATGTCCCTTTTCCTCTAATTCTCATTGTTGACATTAATTTTTGTAATCAAATCAGAATCATTTCTGGCATTGAAACTTTACATTTAATGTCATTGTCTTCCTTGCAGACCGATCATGAGGCTCAGAGGCGGCATAATGTTGAATTGGTTAAAATGCAAGAGGAATCTTCTATACGAAAAGAACAAGCAAGACGAGCTACTGAGGAGCAAATTCAGGCTCAGCAGCGCCAGACTGAGAAAGAAAGGGCTGAAATAGAAAGGGAAACAATAAGAGTCAAAGCCATGGCTGAGGCTGAAGGCCGGGCCCATGAAGCAAAATTGACTGAGGATCAAAACCGCAGAATGCTTATAGAACGGATAAATGGTGAAAGAGACAAATGGCTTGCTGCAATTAATACAACTTTTAGTCACATTGAAGGTATAAATGTATTTATGTTTACTGTTGCCTGAATGTCACGGTTTAGTAAAGTTTCTACAAGTATCATTGTCTTTTTGAAGTAATATGTTGGGAAGCTCATTGGTTGATGATAATTGTAGTATTTTGTCTACATGTAGATACTCGGTGCAATGAAATATCTTTTTCCAAATTTTGTTGTTTTCCTCTAAAATATTGAGCAATACTAGTTTTACAAAGATACATACAAAGGGGGCAAACAAAGACAATCCCCACCCTTGATTTTCATGATCTCTCTCTCTCTCTCTCTCTCTTTTTCCGTTTTTTCTTTGTTTTTTTCTTCTTGCTGATGTCACTTTGTAGCCCTCTTTGTATGGGTCTTTGTAAGGATAGCATTTTTCTAAAATATTAGATGACCTTGCTTCATTTTTGCCTGACATCTGTTTCCTCTGTTATTTGAAGAGGCTGATGAACATTTGCAATACTTATTGCTTTACATCATTTGATCCATAAATTGTTATTCTTGATGTGATACATGAGGTTACTGGAGCATAATATATTTCTTGACCTCAAAAACTGTTGTGTTCTTGCTATGGCATACTATGTTCTGCATCTTTTAGTTTGTCAGCTTCTTATAAAAATTTGCATCTGGCTTAACCTTTTTTGTTTTAATAATTTTGCAGAGGGTTTTAGGACTTTATTGACAGATAGGAATAAGTTGGTTATGACAGTTGGAGGAGCCACTGCATTGGCTGCAGGAATTTATACAACCAGGTAAGTTGGTTTCTTTCCTTACTGCCATCTATTCAATTTTCAGTAGGAAAAGTTTCAACTTTTATTTGGAAAGTTAATTCCATTTAATGACATAGCTCAATTTAGATTAGCTCTTAGATTCACAGATTCATTTAAAACCTGTTTAATGATGATTCATGGTAGTTTGAGTCATCATCTGAACTCTTTTTTATTGTTCTGTTTTATCTGTTTACAGAGAAGGTTCTAGGGTTACATGGGGCTATATTAACCGGATCTTGGGACAGCCGTCACTAATTCGAGAATCATCAATTGCTAAATTTCCATGGTCAGGACTTTTGTCTCAAGCAAGGAAAAAAACTTTTAGTAATAGGACAGCATCTGGAGCAGCAGGGTCTACTGAAGTAAAAAAACATAATGGAGATATTATTCTCCATCCTTCCCTGCAAAGGAGGATAGAGCATCTTGCTAAGGCTACGTCAAATACCAAGATCCACCAGGCACCCTTTCGCAACATGATGTTTTATGGACCCCCTGGTACTGGTAAAACTATGGTTGCTAGGGAGATCGCTCGAAAATCGGTATGGTAGCTCTAATGGTTCAATTTTTTTTATTTATTTTTGTAATTTATGCCGACTTATTTGTGTCAAATTCACTTCAATATATAGTCTATCCTATCACTGGCCCTTGTGTGTTTCTTTAGATTGGACTTACTTTACACGATACAAAGAAGCATGAAGGACCATATGTACCTATGTTAACAGTTAGGAGGCATAGATACTATTGTTAATGCATCTGAGATTGCTAGTTATAATTTTTTTTCTGTCAAATTAAATTATTGCTCCGCCCAAGGTTGGTATGAGGGAGGACAAATCTCTAGACCTTCTGCTTTTATTTCATATGATATTGGAAATCATTAAAATAATTATAAAAAATAGAAACAATATTACAGTATTTCAAAATTTCAAAATTTCAAATTTTTTTAGAAATGAATTAAGATATTCAACACAATGACTTGCACATTTTGTCTTAATAAGTGGTTGAATTAGCTAGCAACTTTTGTCAAAAGTCTTACTTTAAGCTTGTTCTGTATTTTTATGGTATTTATAATTATAGCTCTTTGCTTTGGTCAAATGAATGGATTTAGAGATTGCAAAAAATCATATTTATTCATTGAAGTTAGCCTTGATCCTTGTGTCTTTTACCACAGGGATTGGATTATGCCATGATGACAGGAGGAGATGTTGCGCCTCTTGGTGCACAGGCTGTTACCAAGATCCACGAGATATTTGATTGGGCAAAGAAGTCAAAAAAAGGCTTGCTGCTTTTTATTGATGAGGCTGATGCGTTTTTATGCGAGTAAGTTACCGTCTCCCTCACAGATTACATCAAGTTCGGCAGTGAAAAATGATTGAAATAGCTTGGCAGTTCTGTTAATTATGTTTTAGCAGAAGTCTATTATATGATATTAAAGGCTTTAAATTACTGTATTTTTCTGTAACTGTCTAAGATGATTTGTTCTGGCTTTTAAGTCTGCTTCTTAATCTGTGTTGAATTCCACTCTTTTAATTCGAGCCCAAATTATAGCAGCTCCAATATTTCTGAAAGTTATTATCATGTTTAGGTTAGACATTTTCTTTAGTTATAATTTATTTCCTGGCAGCAAGATTGTAATCCACAATTGATCTAATGCAGGCGTAACAGCATACATATGAGTGAAGCACAGCGAAGTGCTTTAAACGCATTGCTTTTCCGAACTGGGGATCAGTCCAGAGATATAGTTCTTGTTCTTGCCACTAACAGGCCAGGAGATCTTGATAGTGCTATTACTGACCGCATTGATGAAGTGATTGAGTTTCCCCTTCCTAGAGAGGAGGAGCGTTTCAAACTGCTGAAACTCTATTTGAACAAGTACCTTTCTGATGAAGATGACAGTGCATCCAAGTGGGGCTTTTTGCTCAAGAAGAGACCGCAGAAGATAACCATAAAAGATTTGTCTGAAGATGTCATTCGAGAGGCTGCCAAGAAGATCGAAGGGTTCTCTGGGCGTGAAATAGCAAAACTCATAGCTAGTGTTCAAGCAGCTGTTTATGCCCGCCCAGACTGCGTATTGGATTCCCAGCTGTTTAGAGAGGTTGTCGATTACAAAGTTGCAGAGCATCACCAGCGAATTAAGCTGGCTGCTGAAGGTGGTCAGCAGCCCAGAAACAAGTAGTAGTCCCAAATTTTCAATTTTGTACGAGAATATCTCCTAAGCCCAGAATTACATTATTTATTCGGAAATTGTATTTTTGAGATAAGATAGCACTCCATTTGAAAAAGGAGTGAAATTTTAACAGTGAAGCTTTCAAACCAATTGTACTGCACTTTGTAGTATGTAACAAAGTCTTCCATTAATTTTTTTTCCTAGAAAGTTTCTCTATTTCAGATTTTTTTTTTTTTTTTTGAATTTTAGGAAAAAAAAATTATCCGTTCTACTTGAGAGTAACGTTATGAAGCACAGGGATAAAATAATATCGAATAAAGAAGATAATATAATAAATGATTTTGTGTAAAAAAACATAGAATTTTTGAAAGCCAACATATGGGTTGCATTAGTTGGGTTGGGGAACATGTGTGGCAAGTAGGGGTGGCGGGACCCCATGGAACCGAAACCAGCCGATTCCTAAGATTTGGAATCGAATCAGCTAGTTTCAGTTCCTAAAAGCCTAGAATCGAAACCTGAAACGTAGATACTGATTCTGGGTACTCGAAAAAATTATGATTACCCTACTATTTATAAAAATGATAAATACACCTAAAAAAATTTACAAAAATTATAGTTCAGTCCTGATTTTAACTTGAGTACCCGAGTCTCAGTTCCTATTCCAGTTACAGTTCCTACAGTGATAGATCCAAAACTGGAATTGCATAGTACGGATTCTAATTTTTTAAAACTGGTACGAACATTATGACGGCCGGTTCCGGTTCTATCCTATTTTTTAGTCCACCCCTAGTGGCAAGTATAGAGTTGCGAATTGCAACCATGGGTGATATAGTAAAAGCTTTAATAGTTTGTTGAATGACTAGTTCGATGATGATGAGCAAAACCCGTAGAAGAAAAGACAAATAGAAAACATGCATAAGATGCGGGCAACAGTGTCCTTTGGAGAGATACAAGTGGCAAAAATCCTAGTAATATACTTATAATTACAATGTCTTCCTACAGTACTGCCACTTTTCCCTGTAAGATGCCACGTTTCAGATCAAACAGTTTGTCTTCTCCACTATATAAACAGCAACAAAAGGCATTGAGATACATAACAAAGTTGTTAAAGGTAGTTAATAATCTTGTGTTAGAAAAGATGGGAAAGACTTTAGTATTGTTGTTATGTGTGATGTTGGTTTTGGTATCAACGAGGGTGGTGTTTGGGCAGGAGCATCAGGACAAGGCTGAATCCTGGACTGATTGGGCCAAAGACAAGCTCAATAAGTAATCTGATCTGACCTCCTCCTTCTTCTTCTTCTTCTTCCTTGTTATTATACACATCCATCATCTTATTACGTCTACTACTATTCACAAATTAACATTTTTTTTTTTCAACATCAATTTACTGTTTACGAATTATCATAACATTTTATTGTTGTCCTTGTTTATTAACTTTGGCGGTAGAAGTACATTCATAAAAACAAATATGCAGTTAAAGCGTGTAATATTTGTTTCTTGGTTGTTTTCTCAGTGGACTCTGTGTATATTTCCATAGTTATCTTAAAGTACACTTGATTGGCTTATAATTATTTAGTTTAAGTTTTAGGAAACCATTGATCTCTAATGTTGTGATGGTGCTCTCCCAGGACTTTTGGAATAGACCAAGATAAAACGAAAGAAAAAGCTGGGGAACTTATGGAAGATGCTGCAAATGCTACCTCCGACGCTTCAGGGTCACTTAAAAATGCGACATCTGGTACCTTAACATTTTCATTTGTGTAGCTTGTATTAATACTAGAGTGTGTAATTTATTAAAGTTAAAAATTGTTTTTGATTTGCATTGTTTCAGAAGCATCCAATTATGCTTCCGAGAAGGCTGAGGAGGCAACCAATGCGACAAGTGATGAAATACAAAAAGCAAAAGACTATGGCAGAAAGACAATGGAATTTGGCTACAATGATAAGGTAAATAAACCATTGAGAAAAGGAAAAAGGGTATTGAGATCGTTATCCGAAAGCGCTGCGGAGCAAGGTAAAGATACAATTGACAAATCAAAAGATGCATACAATGACGCTAAAGAGAACGTGAAGAGTGGTTCAGCTAAGGCTAAAGAGACCATGGGAGGAGCAATGGAAAGTGGAAAAGATAACGTAGAACATGCGTATGATGAAGCTAAAAATCAGGTGGGAGAAGCATATGATGGTGCAAAAGACAAGGCATCAAAGGCTGCTAGTAATATTGGAGTCTAGATGGACAGATTTCTCAGCTGTGAGCTGTGAGTGAATTCAACTACTACAATTCACCCGCCACATCCTGCTATGCGTTTCTTAATAAATATTTTCATCTATATAGTTTTATGTTTTTATTATAAATTAAAAAATTCTTTTATGTTGTTTGTACTTCATTCCTAATTGAAATGGAAATGAGAGGCAAAAGCAGGCCTCCAATCGATGTTTAAGATTTTAACTTCCTTCATAGTTTGGATGTTGCTAAATTTCTTGCACTTAGGCTATGTAGGATTTCTGGTTAAGCCATCAAAGCCTGGGGGCTAATTTATACTGCCTATTTTTCATATCAAAGCTGCTAGAATCGTGCAAATTGTTTAACTGGAAGGATTAATTAACAGGTAATTTCTAGCTTTTTCGTTTTTANTTTAACATCAATTTACTGTTTACGAATTATCATAACATTTTATTGTTGTCATTGTTTATTAACTTTGGCGGTAGAAGTACATTCATAAAAACAAATATGTAGTTAAAGCGTGTGTAATATTTGTTTCTTGGTTGTTTTCTCAGTGGACTGTGTGTATATTTCCATAGTTATCTTAAAGTACACTTGATTGGCTTATAATTAGTTAGTTTAAGTTTTAGGAAACCATTGATCTCTAATGTTGTGATGGTGCTCTCCCAGGACTTTTGGAATAGACCAAGATAAAACGAAAGAAAAAGCTGGGGAACTTATGGAAGATGCTGCAAATGCTACCTCCGACGCTTCAGGGTCACTTAAAAATGCGACATCTGGTACCTTAACATTTTCATTTGTGTAGCTTGTATTAATACTAGAGTGTGTAATTTATTAAAGTTAAAAATTGTTTTTGATTTGCATTGTTTAGAAGCATCCAATTATGCTTCCGAGAAGGCTGAGGAGGCAACCAATGCGACAAGTGATGAAATACAAAAAGCAAAAGACTATGGCAGAAAGACAATGGAATTTGGCTATAATGATAAGGTAAATAAACCATTGAGAAAAGGAAAAAGGGTATTGAGATCGTTATCCGAAAGCGCTGCGGAGCAAGGTAAAGATACAATTGACAAATCAAAAGATGCATACAATGACGCTAAAGAGAACGTGAAGAGTGGCTCAGCTAAGGCTAAAGAGACCATGGGAGGAGCAATGGAAAGTGGAAAAGATAACGTAGAACATGCGTATGATGAAGCTAAAAATCAGGTGGGAGAAGCATATGATGGTGCAAAAGACAAGGCATCAAAGGCTGCTAGTAATATTGGAGTCTAGATGGACAGATTTCTCAGCTGTGAGCTGTGAGTGAATTCAACTACTACAATTCACCCGCCACATCCTGCTATGCGTTTCTTAATAAATATTTTCATCTATATAGTTTTATGTTTTTATTATAAATTAAAAAATTCTTTTATGTTGTTTGTACTTCATTCCTAATGGAAATGGAAATGAGAGGCAAAAGCAGGCCTCCAATCGATGTTTAAGATTTTGACTTCCTTCGTAGTTTGGATGTTGCTAAATTTCTTGCACTTAGGCTATGTAGGATTTCTGGTTAAGCCATCAACGCCTGGGGGCTAACTTATACTGCCTATTTTTCATATCAAAGCTGCTAGAATCGTGCAAATTGTTTAACTGGCAGGATTAATTAATTAACAGGTAATTTCTAGCTTTTTCGTTTTTAATAGGCAAGAAAAAACTCTTACGTCTTCACATTGTAATATATAATAACAATAATATATATATTTAATATATTTTTAAACATACATCATTGGAACTTTATATACTAGATTTCCCACTCCACAATATTCATAATTCTAACGCATTAATTAATGCCTAATGAAATTGAGAAGTCAATAAAAATAGAAAAAAATGTTGAAAAGTTGATTAAAAAACATTTAAAACCTCATTAATGTGTGTGTGTAGACACTAGACAATAGAAAAATGAATGTTTTGACCTTAGATTATAAAGCCTATTCAGTACCAAATACGCCTTAGAAATTGAATTCTAGAAAAAGGAATTTCCAAGTTTTAAACATGGAGAGTGATCAATCAAGCAGAGATCATAATAATTCCTTCATTCTTGTCCATGGAACGTGGCTTTTTAAATTGTATGGTACCAGCTGAATCTGAGAGCCTTAATTCTAATACCTACATGTATCTTTATTATTACCTACGGTATTAATTTCCTCTTGCTTGATTCTCTCATCTTTCTTCTTCTCAAAGACATTATGAGCCAGCTGATTCCAGTCTTATTCTTGGATCCCCTCAAAACTTTCTGCTTTAATAAAGACTTTCTCTGATTCTTATCTCTTCTCTTATATGGAGGATATGTATCCTTCAATCTATATCTATATGGTTGCTGGGCCAGGCAATAGGACAAATAAACTGTAGAATGAAGTCAACATTTTACACCAATGGCGGTCATGGCCATGGTTAGTTGAGATAATATAAAAAAATAGATATTTAAAGTAAAACATATACTGATATGAACTTATCTTATTCAACAGACATTGTATTCAGAACTGTCAAGTGTGGATGGATGGATATATTCTCTATATCGTCTCTTTCATTTACGGAAATAACCATAACCCAACAAGTAGTGGTTTTCAAAGTGACCAAGACTTTTGGGAATGAATGACACATGTTATGTATTTATTATCAAAATTAAATTGCACCTAAAAAATATTTATTAAACCATGTAAAATGAAAAAAATATAGAAATAGGATTTAAATCATGTCATAGTCAAAAACACGACGAGATCGTTTACTATGGAAGTTGCTTCAATGAAGATGAAGAGGGACTAGTGGTAGGGTTTCATAGAGTTAATGGAACCAAGGCCTCCATGATTAAGATTCTAGGGTCAAATGGAACAGTGAAGAACATAAAATGTCCAGCCAGGAAAAAAAAAAAAAAAAAAAAAAAAGGAACAAAAAGAACTGACACATATGAAGCGTCTTCATCATCAGTACAATGCTTAAAACTAAATTTTGCCCTTGAGCCAAAAAGAGTTAAAACTGTATATCTGAAGAAGACGATTACAAGTAATGGATGGAATTTAAAAACATAAATAAATTACCCATAAAATGAGGAAAATCGATAATCAAGTAGATTTCCTCTCTATTAGGTTACTCACATAATAATTTAATTATCTACTAACTCTTATCTCCTGCAAGACTGCTAATAATATAATTAACAAACTAGAAGAAGAATGTAATTATTCTTCAATTTGCTTCTTCTTAGAAGCTTGTTTATTATTATGCATCCAAACCTTGAAAACCTGTCTCTTTACTCCCAATTGAGTACAAAACTGCTGCACTTCTTCATCATCTTGTTTCACCATCTTCCATCCCAACTTCTCTGCAAACTCCATCATCTTATACTTCTGTTCTTGAGTGAACTTCGTTCTAAATCTCTTCCTCGATGACCGTGGCACAACTGATGCTTGTCCAACAGTGTTTGATTGATACAGATTGAGATCTTCACTTGAAGACTCTGCTGGGCCCCCACCACTGCTTCCCCCGCCCCCGCCGCTACCACCACCAAAGTTCATCATCATTGGTGCATACACAGTCGTTGCAGGATTATTGTAAGGAAATCTATGATGAGGCTGATATTGTAGTGGTTGTTGATGATGATGGTGATGACGAAGCATGGTGTTCCGTGGAGTTGTGTTGTTTATAGTGGGGTTATTGTAGGTGTAATAAGAATTGGGTGCATACGATTGTGGTTCCCCATCAACTTCTCTTCGATGAAAATTTCGATGACATTCACAAGCAGCACATTTTAAGGCTTCCGGGGTTCCTTCTTCACCGCCTGGCATGAATTCTCCACAACCATCCATCACGTGACCTCCGATATTTGCAGCGTGATTCTTCTGGCATTCTCGGTATCTAACCGAAGGCACGATGGCCGTAGCTTCCGCCGCTGGTGGTGCTTGTAGTGGTTGTGTTTGTCTGGGTGTTGTGACGTTTGATCTGCCAGCTTCTTGTCCACCAACGGTAGGAACTGGATCTGAGTCGATGTCTAGATCTCTTCTGGGCTGCTTATGAATGTTTTGTTGTGGATTCAATTGAGTAAAAAGAAGAGGATGCTGATCTAGGGCTTGAGGTGAATTGAAGATAACATCACCATGAGCATGAGTTGAGGTTTGATGATCTCTTCTGGTTTCTCCTACAGCTGAATTTACTGGTGTTGATGAGACTTTTGACGAAGAAGCCCTGTTATAAACCAAAGAACTTGGCATCCCTATATCCCTATCTTGGTCTCTCAGTTCCATTAAATCTGGGTTGATGATCTAGTTCTTGATTTCAGCTCAGCCGCCTCACTTTGTTAAATAATAAATGGATCTTCTTAGACCGTCATCATCACCAACGGAATCATCATTTTGTAACCGTTGATGATGTATTCCTAAATTTTTCAACCCTAACCCACAGCAGCTAACCTGAGAAACCACTTAATCAAAGAAATTATCAATCTAATCAAAGATCAAAGTTTTTTCCTTCTGCTTTTTTATTTCTGCTTTTGACGTTCCTGGTGCTAAACCCACCAACCCATTTTCACTAATACAACCCTATTAGCAATACGTAAGCAAAAGATTGAGCAGTTGATGGACAAGTAGATTAGATTGATTATAAGTGTTTTAATTCAGACAAACCCAAAAAATAAAAGTAAAGAAGAAAAGAAACATCTTTGAAACTGAAACAGGAGATGAAACTTAGATATGGGCCCCAAATGCCTCTCAGCTTGAGCTAGCTAAACAAATAAAAGACTCACCTTGATGAAGTAAACACGGTAGATTCGAATAAAGAAGATAGTAATTGCAGCATTAAAAATAATATCCTCAAGTTAGAGCACGATTCAAGCATTGATTAAGGAAAATCTAGAACCTAATTAGACTAAGGGAAAAACAAGAAAGAGAAGTAAAGATGATCAAAGAGGAGAAAGATGTGAGAGAGAAATGTGTTTCATACCACCCATCCAACCACATAAAATCCATCTATCAAAGGAAAAGTGGATTGTTATTGGTATTGGTATTCAGAATAACCAGTGGTGAGTAATAAAGATGGCAGAAGAACCGACAAGTTCATGTTAGAACTCTTCCATAGCCTGCACACTGGTCCAGTTCCCTAATTATTGCTCTCCCCACTCTCTGCGTGCTTTGGTACAATCTTTCACCTGCACTCTAGGCCTCTGCAACCCTAAAAAAACCTAACTAATTATATTTAATATATGACTTCAAGTGTAAGACATACTTGAAAGAAAAAAAAGGTAAAATTATGGAGAGATATTTACGAGAAATGCGTGTTGAATCTGACGTCGGTTTGTTTTCCTCGAATCTCCTTGAATTCTCAAATGTCCAGGTTAAACTGTCTGAAGAAGTAAGTTTATGAGAAATTAAATAAAGAGAAGAAGGGGTTAAAGATAATCAAAGAATCAAAGAGCTGAATTAAAAGGAAGTGATTTTGTTTTGGTGGGTTTAGGGAAGTAAAGTGTTAAAACGCTGGTCCACAGCACAGCACTTGTCCTTTATAGTGTGTGTCAGATTCTCTCTTTCTCGCAAAGACTCCCTTCTCTCTCTCTCTCTCTCTCTCCTCAACACTCTTTTGTGTTTGTGCGCCTGCACTGCACCCAGCACTCTCTGCAACTCCACTGTTGCCCTACCCAATCGCTTCCCTCTTCAACCCTCTCTTCAGCTTTTTCTTTTTTCTTTTTTTTCATAAAATCAGAACTTTTGCTTATTGGTAGCTAATTGATGATGGTGTGGCTATGTTCTACTATTGTTGGACTCTTCTGCTCTTTAATTTAGCTTTGTGGTCAGAGTTTCTACCTTAGCTAATCCCAACGCTTCCTTTAAACCAACATGGACCTTATTTGACTCTTCTTTCTCTTTTAGATCACGCTTACCCTTTTTTTTTTTTTTTTGCCTGGTCCACACACCAGTCTACCTACATGAACCTATTCTGTAGGTCAGACACTAGTTCTTCTTACCCTTAATTATTTTCTACTTGAAAGTAAATAGGTAAGATGATAATTGGGGTTGCATACACCTGGATAAGCATTAGATGAATATCACAAGTGTAATTTTTATGTTTATTTTGGTAGAAATAAACCAGTTCTAAACTTAGAAATAAAATAAATGTTTATATATTGGGTCCGATTCCAAAACTAGAGGGACTCAATAGATGGCATCAAAAGGAGAAGAGCATTTTTAAAACTTAAATCTTCAACTTTGTTGACGATAGTTGTGACAATGAACTTAGGATTTACATTTTACCCAATCTAAAAGAATATTTTTTTTTATGATTATATTAATTTCCATACTTTTTCATTCAACCAGTCAAATGAGAATCACACGCAACTACAACACATTAATGATAAAATAAATGACATTCAAAAAGTCTACTTTATATATACATATATCTGGAATCATTAATTAACAATTTGAGTCACTAATCAAATAACATTCTTAAATGTATTATTCAACAAATTTTGAATTCAATTTATCTCCATTTTGAAAGGATTAATTAGGTCTAACAAAAATCTGGTATCATCATCAGATTATGTTAATGATGTGGCTCACAATTAAAGTGGGGAAGTTTTTGCTGTTATGGATCACGTCCAAAAATGCCTCGATTGAACCATTCATTTGGCAGCTTAAATAATTGTATAAGATTAGACATTAAATCAATTCATTTGACAAACACGGCACGGGTATTTGCTTATCTTTTATTTTATTTATTTTTCTTTTTCCTTTCCTCTCAGTTAATTACCATGCGCATGCATAATATTGGCCCGTCCTTTCATCGGATTTGGTCAATCAAAATATGACTTCAATATTTACCCTAGTCTTGTCGTGATGATCATATAAAAGAAATTATTCTCTTCGCATCCGGCATCAAATCCCACTCCTTATAATTATTCTGTAAATAACTAAAAATTCAAACAAAAATTAAATATAATTAAAACTGTTATGCCTGAAACTTCATCCCTACTGCCTACCAATTAGCCCTCAGCATACATCTCCACTAACCAGGATTCAACCAGAGTACGAAGACAAAATATGATAGTTGCCTAATTCATAAACTGACTCGAAAGATATTTACACTTACAATTGCCATAATTTCACTAAATTAAAGATATGGATAAAAGCTCTTAACAAATTGAAGGAAAATCTTTACCAAATCAAGGTAATTTGTAAAAACAATCGTTAGTTTGAGCGAAAAAGAGTATAAATAAGCAGCTTCACTCTTCACAATCGGATCGATTTATCGAATTCGTACACTTGTTCTACAAAAAATAATAATAATAATAATATGACAAAGACACGCTCCTAGAAAGAGATTAATCTATCATTCTCTATAAATACTTTAAACACTTGTACCCTTGAGAGACTGTTCTCTTTGTAATATTCATTAGCGATTACAAAAGAAATCATAATACAATCACAATAGATATAGAACTTGCTCATAACATCCGAACCACTCTAAAATTTATCTTGTCAATCTGTTATTTATGCACTAACTAACAAACATCATCACGACATTACAAACACTCTCATAATCACCTCACGTGTAACTTCTTAGCATTTTACACGTGAATAATCATTGATGTCAAAAACTACGTATAATTAATCATTTAGTTATGAGTAATATTACATTAACAAACTCTTTTCATTAATTTTCTTTCATAAATGCGATATATCAGCTTACAATGAGTTTTTCTTATCAAATACTAGGTCTAATCTGATAAAAAATAAATTATTTAATTATGAACTGTCATCTCGTGTTCATATAAGAATGTTGTGAGAAGTATTTTTCAAATATCATTATTCTTTAGCTACTTGTTATCATATGAAACAGAATACGAATAAAATAATAATGTTGGACTAAAATTTGAGCAAACGAATTGAAGTAGCTTCGTTGAAGCATCTAAATCTGAGATTATGTGAATGTGGTGTGGGTCAAGTTTACATACATGCACCTTTTTTTTCTTCTCTCTCTCCTGACACAGACTGGGAAACAAAATGGTCACGTCTGCTCTGTATTAAATATTAATTTAGTATTCTAATCTAACTCTAACCGTGGGAATTCATGGTTAGGGTTTAATGGAACAACTGATCTCGTGAGCCACTTGATGTCTGTGACTCTGTACATTAATATAATTGTATAACTTATTATTTAATTTAAGGGAACAATTTCCGAGTACGTAATCATCAAATTAAACGAATAAAGACCAATCATTAAACTAATCCAACCTCCCCCCCGGTCTTGTTAATAAATTAATATTAATGCATGCACAAGCACTTATTGCCAGGATATTGAACACGTGGCAAAAGTGCAGCCAGGTTTTATTATATGGTGCATCTGTTAATTTGTCCAAAGGAAATAAGAATGCAGCCATTACTGATCCCTTCTATTGACCTCTAAATTAGTTCAATCTCAATCTTTAGATACAAAGGAACATGGAGAACACTGCACATAATCTACCAGTTACCCTAAAGTTTTAACATAAATTTCAATATGACTGACTGTGTTGTCATTTCACAGTGCAGCAATTTGCTAGGGTTTAGCCCTGACATGTATAGTCTTTTATTTTATGGTCAGTGTTTGGAGCTTTAGATTTTTTACGGTGATACTAAAATGTGAAATAAAAATATCAGACTACCTAGTCAACGTTATCAGGGTACTTTCTGTTTTATCAAAGCAAATACCAACTTGATTACGAGGATAATAAATCAGATAGGATAATTGTACCACGGGTTGGCCTTTTCCCAAACTAGAATCAGAAAAAGCAAATCTAATCTACTATGGCTCCTGAATTCACATCAAAATCTGTTTGAAAGAAATCTGATGATGGCCTTGTGGTTGTAGCTTCCCCCAGATTTCCTGCCTTCGCTTGGATCTTCTGTTGCTCTTTCTTAAATATTATCAACTGACTACCCTATTTAATTCCATTTAATTCTCTTGTATTCTTCATCATGTAAGTTTTTCTGTTCGTAGATCAGATAATTTTAACACTCCGAAATAAACAATTTCCTTAACTAATGTTTAATCAGATTTAAGAATTTGACTAAGTGCTTGAAATCCAAGCAGAATAAAGATAGATTTGGTTGAAAAGGGAATTTAGTAAGTAAATTACTTTTGTCCTTTCCCTTGTTTGGACTGTATATAGTTTTCCAGTTGGCACTATTGTTTTTGCGGCTATTAACGAAATAAAAAAAAAAAAAAAGACTTAAATACATATCTTGGATATTAAGATGACAAATGATAAGACTCGTCCTCAATTTGTTGTTTTCACTCCAAGTGAGTGCATGCTTAATTATGATTTAAGCTTTGGAATATTGGACCACTACCACTAGTCCCTCTCATAACCCACCTAATTAAATGGAAAATCATTCAATTAATTGTAATTTGTAATCCTAATCTTAATTCAATTATCATTCAAATCAAAAGAAGACTTAGTTTCCATAGTTTGGCGCATGTTAGCAAAGACAAGTGTTGTTACGAAAATTTGCAACAACCAAGGGTATCCAGTCAACCAATACAAGACTGGGTAGGATGTGTGCGTGATTATAAATAATCAGTTTAGATTAGACTAAAAAATCCACAACGGGGTGAGGCAAGAGACTTTTAAAGTAGTTTGATAGGTTATAACCAAACCTATATCTACTGTTATCTTATTATTAATACCCGGATTACATATAAGGTGATTACAAGAGGAGAACCGTAATAGCTAGCTAAAATGCTCCCCTAAGTAGGTTTTTTGTGCTCAAGTGTATTTTTTTCAAGGATGTCTAAAACAGAGGTGATACCTCTCTTTTATACACGTTGTCTAACAGTAGTTGAGAGTTAATAGATTACGGGGTATATTACACGCATAATCCCTCTTAATATGTATTTGAGTCAGCTTTCTTCCATACTTAATTCAGAGCAATCATGCTTAGAGACTGATGATCTTATTAGTTAAGACATCTGTTGTGAGAGTAACACGTGGACTATCCTGGTCGCTCGATTTCGATATGGTCCATAGACAGAAGATGCAAATCTAGTCGTTGGAAAATCATGTATAACAAGAAGAAATGGGCAAGAGCTAGTCAGACCACTACTGAATTTGAAAAGATTAGGATGTAAGAGCACTTACTTTTAGTATAAATGAATTGGAAATTCTTTGGTGTGAATATGGCACCATAAGTAAGCAAATTAACGTTGAATTTTATGTTTTAATTATTCGCATTTAAATTAAAACATAAAATTCATATTATTTTCTTATGTGCAAAGACTTGGTTCTATTATTGCACTGAAAAGTTTAAAGTTGGGAGTGGCCCATTTCTGACTCCTGGTGGGATACATTTCATTTGATAATTGGAGATACCTTCATTCACAAGCTGCTCCTTGACTAAAATATGTTCTCTTTGGGCATTATCTGGACTGGGGAGTTAAGACTTTTGTCCAATATTGTTGATATTTGGGCAAATCTAACATGCCACCATTGATTGGGTCCTCACACTCAGTTCAGTAACATGTTATGCTAGCTGCTAAGAAACATCAATGTCTTAACTAGGGTAGCTCTTTATTTTAAAATTGTATCTGTCCTTGTCGTCAAGAACTTGGGCTCAACTAAACTAAGTCGTTAGAAATTAGAGGTTTAGAGTATATTGCATCTTTGTAGGAAGCAATTTGATTCAGTCAACGATATAAGCATGACTTCATGGAATTTATTTTTTGTTTGATACGAACAGAACGACATCTTGATGTCGGTATTTCCTAAAATATTGTTCAAAATTGATTGTATTGGGCCGTCATGGCCGAATTTCTACCATCTTCAGTAACGACAAGAAGTCCAGATCCTCATACAAAATAAATCAGGCCGAGCTAGGCCTGAGCCCAATTTGATTTGGGTTCTCATTGGGTGGCAACAAGCATAACACTAGCTAGACTTTCGTAACCCCAAGTATATGGATTCGCTATCATCCCTCCTGTAATAAGACTCACGAGCCATCAAATATAACAAGAGTAATACTAGCCTTACAAAGAAGCATACAGAGAACCATATAAAGAGTTAAATTCAGTGCTTAAAATTCATGATTGTCTTTTTCTCTCTCTCTTTTTTCTTTCTTTCAAGGGTTGGATTTGCCTCTTTGTATAGTTCTTTATATGCCTCTTTGTAAGGCTAGTATTACTCATATAACAATATGGAAGCAGTCTAAAATAATTTATGTAGAAGTGTAATGAAGCGGCGACTGTGTTGTATGAAAATGGACGCCTGACTGGTTTGGTTTATCTTTTCTGCTAAATGGGCATATCCTGGTTGTGAATTACGCAGGCAGCCGATAATAAAAATGTTTCATCCCTGCACAAGTTGGATCTTGGATGGCTATCCGCTCGTCAACTAAATACAGTTCATTAACACAAACTTTAGTGCTCAAATGTTCAATAGGAAAAAACCAAGTTTTATTTGTTTCAAGATATAATCCTCTGTTACATATGAACGTCTATTAGCTGGAATTGTTTCTGGACCAAATGGGCTGGCTCTCATGTCATGGTCTCATAGATCATTTAGCGAGTATATACAGCCTCATGCTATCTAATTTTGTTCTACATTCTTGTCAGATCAATATAGATGACAAGATCAGGGACATATATTGCCATCTGATTTATTTGTGATGAGAATAATATGTGCATTGCTGTGTGTAAGATAAGAGGAATGTCAAATTCAGAAGAAAGATTCAGATTCTCAACTTTTTTCGTTTGAATCAATCCAATTCCACTACTTGTATTCACATTGGTTTCTGTTGAATAAAAAGAACAGAATATTTGTATTCACATTGGTTTCTCTTGAAGAAATGGTACAGAAAAATGGGCAATGCATTACAACTCAAACAGCAAGTTTTTCGTTAAAGTTAGGAGGATGAGTGGCACTTATCTATGCCACAACCAACTGGAAGGAAAAAGCTTATAGAACATTCCAATATTTGATGAATCCTGAAATAGCCTGTCAATTGTGAGCCTACAGTACTGCCCCTACAATTGGTGTATTCTCCATCGGACTTCACTTGGGTTCCGATATGTATGATTTGGTTAATAAGTATTACTATGTTTTTGCAAATGCACAATCAATACTGTGTAAGTGTGATAATAAGCTCAGAGTTAACAATAGCAAAAAGAAGTATTACCTTGTTGATTCTTCATGAACTAGTACATGGCAGAGGAAATCAGAAATTGGGTGTAATTCAAACCACAATTATTATACATATTACATATAGCCAGAGTTCTACAATGCCAAATCAATAATCTATGGTGCTTCAACAATATTTTCCCCTGCAACCACATTTGGTGAAGGTCCTTTGGCTTCCATTAATCTCCACATGTACCAAGCCCCAACAGATCTGTAAGGCTTCCACTTCTCACAAACCTCTTCCATTTTCAAAGCCCCCGGCAACTCTTTTAATCCATACAAAGCTTGCACGCCTTTTCTCACTCCCAAATCACCCACCGGCAAAACATCCGGTTTGTGCAGTGAAAATATCATAAACATGTGTACAGACCAAGGGCCAATACCCTTCACACACGTCAACATTTTGAAAAGCATCTCATCGTCCATTTCAAGAATCGAATCATCCGATAAAACCCCCCTTACGTATTTGTCTGCTAAGTCATGAATGTAGCTCGCTTTTCGAAACGAAACTCCCGTTTCACGAAGCCGTTGAGCTGAGATTGATAAAACAGCGTCGGCGAGGACCTTATCTTCGCCGCCAACCAGGGAGAGGAAACGATCGTAGATTGATTTTGCAGCTTTGGACGCCAGTTGCTGATAAAGTATGCTTTTGACGAGAGACAAAAACGGCGTTCCACCAGACTCGAATGAGGGTGCACGGTGTGTGTCTATGAGGGTTGCTAGAAGAGTATCTGAGCCGCGTAGATATTGCAGAGCGAGGTCGATTTCGCCATTGAATGTTAGTGGCTTAACAATTTTGGGGGAATTATGAGGATTGTTGATAGGAGCGGTGTGGGTGACAAGTTTTCGGATTTTTCGGGCACGAAATGGAATTTTGGAGGAGGCTGAGAGGTTTTGAGAAATTTCGTTTGCAGTGGTGTTGCTGGTCCGAGATGGCCTCTTCTTCATTTTTGGGAGAGTGTTTGCTAGGGCTTTCATGTGACGACGGCAGCAAGGGTTCAAATGACAAGTGCCGCCGTCGTCTAGATCTATTTGATCTGGTTTTAAATGCCAATTATTAACGGCATCGTTTTACCATTGCTTGGAGATCACGGTAGGATATCTTATATTCTAATAATTTACTCATTTTATTATGCTAAGACTTATTCAAGATTTGAATAAAATGTCAAATAATAATAACACAAATGACTTTTTTTTTTTTTTTTTAATTGGTTTAACAGATAAGACATTTCATCCAATTTTTAAAACTCATCTTAGTTGGTCAGTTGAACTGTTTCAATCGAGACTTGGGGCCTTCATTGGACTGGATTAGTAGTTTTTCTATTCACCAAAAACCTTATAAATTTGGATGGTGATTGACGAACAATTGAAGGTCATGATGTTAAGACTTTTGAAGAGGAAAAGTCAATGAGTGCAGTAATGGCGACAGAGGTGATTTCCAATGAATGAATAAACCGGAAATCACAAAACTAAATCGACGACAACAACCCGCTATTGCCACCAATTGGCAAAGCAATCGGGGGAGGGGTGATATGGGTTTTCGTCAAGAGGCTTAAAGGATTTCAGGGGTGCTTTTGTTATATTTTAAATTTTTAGACACTAGTTCAACCTACTAGTCAAACTGGTCAACCCATGACCCAGCCACTTTGCTAGGTTTCATCCCTGGTTGGTTATTAAAACACTGCTTTCATGTACTTTTATTATATTTTTATTCCCTTACAACTTCCATACCTTCACTCTAACAACTCTAACACTAAAGTGAGTCACTAGAATCTTGGTTTAATTATTCTTCAAATTAGTGTTAGAAATTAAATATCAAAATTTTTGTAAGCTAACAAATAAATTAACTAATTACTGAATATTTTATTAACAAAAATTAGAAATAATATATATTATTTTTTAAACAGGTATAGTAAATGCGTATAATATTTATTTTAATTTTCTAAAAATAAGAAATGAAAAAAAATAAAATTACTCCAGTGCTAGAGTTGTCTGGACTCGAACAACTCAAGTATTAGAATGACTTTCTCTAACTGCTAGAATGAGGAGGGTAAAAGTTGAAAGAAATTTGATGAATGGTCTTATCTATTTAGACAATTAAAAAAAAGGTTTTATAAGTACTTATTTTATCTTTTATTATATGATTCATGTCTCTACCTTTACAAAAAACATTAATCAATACATAAAATGTTAAGGGGTGTCTATTTATAACTAATCAGATTCATCTTTTGTTGTCAATTGTTAATTCTCAATTATTTTTTTCACAAATTTTATTTTGAAACTGGAACCCTCGTCGAATCCTGCTATCATTTGAATATGTTTAAAGAGCAATGTTATATTTACAATTGAGTCGTACAAACAGGCAAAAAACAGAGGACATAGTATTTATTTTATATGAATTTTGTGTAATTTTTATCTGTTTATATGACTCACTTGTAAGCAAAATATTAATTGGGTGCGTTTAGTTTATTATTTTGGATAGGATTTTGGGGATAGTATTGGATAATTAAATATGGGAGTATTACGAGGTAAAATTTAAAAATTTATAAAAAAAAACCCTCTAAGTTTGCTAAGTTAATAAATACCCCAATATATAAAAATATGTAAAATAACAAAAAGACCCCCACCACCCGCATTGCCAGATTTCGGCCACCACCGTCGGAATCTGGCCAAAAAATTGCATAACGACACATACCAGCCGGAAAAGGCCAGATCGGTGAATTACCGACCAGTTCCGGTCGGTAATTTATCGTTGTGGCAGATTCCGGCTACCACCAACGGTGGTTGCCAGAATCTGGCAAGTATGGATCGCAGGGGTATTTTTGTTACTTTTTAAACTTTTTTTTCAGGGGATATTTAATGAAATTAATAACCTTATGGGGTCTAAAAGTAATTAAAAAATAGGCTAATATTTCTGGAATAATGTGCCAAACATTATTTGGAGAATATGATTGGGAATATGGACAGAAATAATAAGCCAAACGCACCCATTGATATTTTTATTATCAATTGTTAACTTGTTATAGAAGATTTCAATTTAAGTCTTTTCATCGACATCAAGGTAGTTGATTGAATCAAGATTATCTCAAAGATTGTAAAGAATCTCTTGAACTATTATACAAAAATCATTATGAAATTATTGTAATATAACACTTAAAATAGTTAATTTATCTACCTACAATAACACTACACTTAACAAAAGTCTTTTCCAAAACAATAATGTTTTGCTTACCAAAACTCTCATATAAAATGAGGTGGTAGGGCATTACCACGACGTCAAAATTAAATTAAAATTCTCTTATTAAGTTTACTTATTTTCATTCTATTAAGGAATAATTAAACATTTCCATTCCTCTTAAAAAATCAGCCAAAAATGGTCTTGAACCTTATCAGGCCCAAACAAGTAACTTCTATTATGTAGGCCCAGGGCTATGGCTCAATTCCAGTTGGGTCTACGTAAAAGTTCATGTCATAGGCCAGACCCACGACTTAAGCCCACCTCTCTCCATATTGGACATCACTATTGGCCCACCTAGGCCCATGTCTGTTGGTCCACGGTAACATCCAATGGTTCAAAATCCCACTAAAACCCTAATACACCTACTTCTTATTTGAGTTTTATCTTAATTCACTCGAGATCATATATCTTACCCGAATTAGAACTCTCAATCCTACTAAAGCTAGTAAATCAAGGTCTTTTCTATTTACTAGTACTCTAACATTACATATTCAAAGTCCTATTAGGATTCAAAGATCCTATGACCACTATATAAAGAGAGGTCCTCCATCTCATTAGGGAAAAATCTCAATACCATCTACTTGCTCCTAAGTTTTTGCTCCTAAGAGTTATACACCTATGCCGTAGTTTTAGTCTCCGACTAAACTTCCAGTAACCATTCTTTCCTTTAAGCCCTTACTAAATAGTCTCATTCAGCCTTATTAACTTGAGCGTCGGAATGCCTACGGCAGACACCACACTAGTGTTTACGTAAGCTTCGCGCTTGTTTGCTTTGTATGCTGGTTTAACGGATTGTCAGTAGCCTCAACCTCATAGGACCAGACCTCTTTTCATAACCGTAGATTTTAGCATATATATATTCTCGGTATCTCTTTTACTTTTGAATGGCCCATCTCCACTCATATAACTTTTACCCATCCATTAGAATCTCAATTTTGTAGCCTCATAATTTGTCGAATTTATGGTGAAATGAAGTTCAGTTTTGATATGAGATAACAGAAAACTAAAGTCACATTCATTATATCTCTTAATTTCTTAATTACTACCATTATAATTATTTTATGAATACATGTTTCTGTTCATTTAAATTTAAACAGCATGTTCAATGTTCCTAAATTATATCAAGTAAACAAATTAATCATTAAACATCAATTCTAACACAGCAAGTTAGCGTAAAAACAAACTAGGACACGATTATGCCTTTAGGATTGATAAACAAGTCTCAATCACAGAAACTTAATTCGTAAAGTTTGAAGGATTATCTGAAAAATCACTCTATATCTTCAAAGAAATGAATAATGTGTTTATACAAGGAGATGACAGCCAATCGAAGAAACTCTCACTGTTAACTAGTTATAAAATAAGAAAGAACTCTAAATAAAATATAAAAAACACGCAGAACATCGAAACAGTGGATTTTGGTCTCGAAAACAACCCCCAACCGAGGTACCAGTTAGGTCACGATGTCAAGCTCAAAACGAGGTTTTCTGTTGATATCTTATATGTCCTGTAACTTCTCTGTAATCAAACTAAAAGTTATAATTGCTTTAAGTTGGCATGCCTATTTAGGATTTAGAACTTTGAGCCGTGCGTTTGCGCTTTAAACATTTTACGTCAAATTCAACAGGGCTTGAATCTCCCACACTCGCAACAAAATAATTTGCCTTTCCTTTTTTCTTGACCTGCTCGATGTAAAAAGAAAGAGATTTCTACAATAATGTTGCACGAGGAAAGCGATTTATGCAACATTGATGAAAAAATTGTATTCACATTGGTTTCGTGAATAAAAAGAACAGAATATTTTTATTCACATTGGTTTCTCTTGAAGAAATGGTAAGAAAAATGGGCAATGCATTACAACTCAAACAGCAAGTTTTTCGTTAAAGTTAGGAGGATGAGTGGCACTTATCTATGCCACAACCAACGGAAGGAAAAAGCTTATAGAACATTCCAATATTGGAATCCTGAAATAGCCTGTCAATGTGGAGCTACAGTACTGCCCCTACAATTGGTGTATTCTCCATCGGACTTCACTTGGGTTCCGATGTATGATTGGGTAATAAGTTTACTATGTTTTTGCAAATGCACAATCAATACTGTGTAAGTGTGATAATAAGCTCAGAGTTAACAATAGCAAAAAGAAGTATTCCCTGTTGATTCTTCCATGAATAGTACATGGCAGAGGAAATCAGAATGGGTGTAATCAAACCACAATATTAATATATTACATATAGCCAGAGTTCTACAATGCCAAATCAATAATCTATGGTGCTTCAACAATATTTCCCCTGCAACCACATTTGGTGAAGGTCCTTTGGCTTCCATTAATCTCCACATGTACCAAGCCCCAACGATCTGTAAGGCTTCCACTTCTCCAAACTTCCATTTCAAAGGCCGGCAACTCTTTTAATCCATACAAAGCTTGCACGCCTTTTCCACTCCCAAATCACCCACCGGCAAAACATCCGGTTTGTGCAGTGAAAATATCATAAACATGTGTACAGACCAAGGGCCAATACCCTTACACTCGTAACATTTTGAAAAGCATCTCATCGTCCATTTCAAGAATCGAATCATCCGATAAAAACCCCTTACGTATTTGTCTGCTAAGTCATGAATGTAGCTCGCTTTTCGAAACGAAACTCCCGTTTCACGAAGCGTTGAGCTGAGATTGATAAAACAGCGTCGGCGAGGACCTTATCTTCGCCGCAACCAGGAGAGGAAACGATGTAGATTGATTTTGCAGCTTTGGACGCCAGTTGCTGATAAAGTATGCTTTTGACGAGAGACAAAAACGGCGTTCCACCAGACTCGAATGAGGGTGCACGGTGTGGTCTATGAGGGTTGCTAGAAGAGTCGAGCCGGTAGATATTGCAGAGCGAGGTCGATTTCGCCATTGAATGTTAGTGGCTTAACAATTTGGGGGAATTATGAGGATTGTTGATAGGAGCGGTGTGGGTGACAAGTTTTCGGATTTTTCGGGCACGAAATGGAATTTTGGAGGAGGACTGAGAGGTTTTGAGAATTTCGTTTGCAGTGGTGTTGCTGGTCCGAGATGGCCTCTTCTCATTTTTGGGGAGAGGTTGCTAGGGCTTTCATGTGACGACGGCAGCAAGGGTTCAAATGACAGTGCCGCCGTCGTCTAGATCTATTTGATCTGGTTTTAAATGCCAAATTATACGGCATCGTTTTAACATTGCTTGGGATCACGGTAGGATATCTTATATTTAATAATACTCATTTTATTATGCTAAGACTTATTCAAGATTGAATAAAATGTAAATAATAATAACACAAATGACTTTTTTTTTTTTTTTAATTGGTTTAACAGATAAGACATTCATCCAATTTTTAAAACCATCTTAGTTGGTCAGTTGAACGTGTTCAATCGAGAATTGGGGCCTTCATGGACTGAGTAGTGTTTTCTATTCACCAAAAACCTTATAAATTTGGAGGTGATTGACGAACAATTGAAGGTATGATGTTAAGACTTTTGAAGAGGAAAAATCAATGAGTGCAGTAATGGCGACGAGGTGATTTCCAAGATGAATAAACCGGAAATCACAAAAACTAAATCGACGACAACAACCGCTATTGCCACCAATTGGCAAAGCACGGGGGAGGGGGGGTGATATGGGTTTTCGTCAAGAGGCTAAAGGATTTCAGGGGTGCTTTGTTATATTTTAAATTTTTAGACACTAGTTCACCTATGTCAAACTGGTCAACCCATGACCACCACTTTGCTAGGTTTCATCCCTGGTTGGTTATTAAAACACTGCTTTCATGTACTTTTATTATATTTTTATTCCCTTACAACTTCCATACCTTCACTTAACAACTCTAACACTAAAGTGAGTCACTAGAATCTTGGTTTAATTATCTTCAAATTAGTGTTAGAAATTAAATATCAAAATTTTTGTAAGCTAACAAATAAATTAACTAATTACTGAATATTTTATAACAAAATTAGAAATAATATATATTATTTTTAAAACAGGTATAGAATGCGTATAAGATTATTTTAATTTTCTAAAATAGAATGAAAAAAAAAAAGAATTACTCAGTGCTAGAGTTGTCTGGAACTCGAACAATCAAGTATTAGAATGACTTTCTCTAACTGCTAGAATGAGGAGGGTAAAAGTTGAAAGAAATTTGATGAATGGTTTATCTATTTAGACAATTAAAAAAAGGTTTATAAGTACTTATTTTATTTATTATATGATTCATGTCTCTACCTTACAAAAAACATTAATCAATACATAAAATGTTAAGGGTGTCTATTATAACTAATCAATTCATCTTTGTTGTCAATTGTTAATTCTCAATTATTTTTTCACAAATTTTATTTTGAAACTGGAACCCTCGTCGAATCCTGCTATCATTTGAATATGTTTAAAGAGCAATGATATTTACAATGAGTCGTACAAACAGGCAAAAAAAGAGGACATAGTATTTATTTTATATGAATTTTGTGTAATTTATCTGTTTATATGACTCACTTGTAAGCAAATATAATTGGGTGCGTTTAGTATTATTTTGGATAGGATTTGGGGATAGTATTGGATTATTTTTGACTAAGTGCTTGAAATCCAAGCAGAATAAAGATAGATTTGGTTGAAAAGGGAATTTAGTAAGTAAATTACTTTTGTCCTTTCCCTTGTTTGGACTGTATATAGTTTTCCAGTTGGCACTATTGTTTTTGCGGCTATTAACGAAATAAAAAAAAAAAAAAAGACTTAAATACATATCTTGGATATTAAGATGACAAATGATAAGACTGGTCCTCAATTTGTTGTTTTCACTCCAAGTGAGTGCATGCTTAATTATGATTTAAGCTTTGGAATATTGGACCACTAACACTAGTCCCTCTCATAACCTACCTAATTAAATGGAAAATCATTCAATTAATTGTAATTTGTAACCCCAATCTTAATTCAATTATCATTCAAATCAAAAGAAGACTTAGTTTCCATAATTTGGCGCATGTTAGCAAAGAGAAGTGTTGTACGAAAATTCTCAACAACCAAGGGTATCCAGTCAACCAAGACGGGACTGGATAGGATGTATGCGTGATTATAAATAATCAGTTTGGATTGGACTTAAAAATCCACAACGGGGTGAGACAAGAGACTTTTAAAGTAGTTTGGTGGGTTAGAACCAAGTCTATGTCTACTGCTATCTTATTATTTATACCCTGATTACATACAAGGTGATTACAAGAGGAAAATCGTAATAGCAAGCTAAAATGCTCCCCTAAGTAGGTTTTTTGTGTTCAAGTGTATTTTTTTCAAGGATGTCTAAAACGGAGGTGATGCCTCCCTTTTATACATATTGTCTGGCAATAGTTGAGAGTTAATAAATTATGGGGTATATTACACGCATAATCCCTCTTAATCTGTATTTGAGTCAGCCTTCTCCCATACTTAATTTAGACCAATCATGCTTAGGGACAGATGAGCTTATTAGTTAAGACATCTATTGTGAGAATGACACGTGGACTACCCTGGTCACTCGATCTCGATATGGTTCATAGACAGACGATGCAAATCTAGTCATTGGAAAATCATGTATAACAAGAAGAAGTGGGCAAGAGCTAGTCAGACCACTACTGAATTTGAAAAGATTAGGATGTAAGAGCACTTACTTTTAGTATAAATGAATTGGAAATTCTTTGGTGTGAATATGGCACCATAAGTAAGCAAATTAACGTTGATTTAATTAGTTGTCTCTATTCGCATTTAAATTAAAACATAAAATTCATATTATTTTCTTATGTCCAAAGACTTAGTTCTATTATTGCACTGAAAAGTTTAAAGTTGGGAGTGGCCCATTTCTGACTCCTGGTGGGATACATTTCGTTTGATAATTGGAGATACCTTCATTCACAGCCTGCTCCTTGACTAAAATATGTTCTCTTTGGGCATTATCTGGACTGGGGAGTTAAGACTTTTGTCCAATATTGTTGATATTTGGGCAAATCTAACATACCACCATTGATTGGGTCCTCACACTCAGTTCATAACATGTTATGCTAGCTGCTAAGAAACATCAATGTCTTCACTAGGGTAGCTTTTTATTTTAAAATTGTATTTGTCCTTGTCGTCAAGAACTTGGGCTCAACTAAACTAAGTCGTTAGAAATTAGAGGTTTAGAGTATATTGCATCTTCGTAGGAAGCAATTTGATTCAGTCAACGATATAAGCATGACTTCATGGAATTTATTTTTTGTTTTTGATACGAACAGAACGACATCTTGATGTCGGTATTTCCTAAAATATTATTCAGAATTGATTGTATTGGGCCGTCATGGCCGAATTTCTACCATCTTCAGAAACGACAAGAAGTCCAGATCCTCATACATAATAAATCAGGCCGAGCTAGGCCTGAGCCCAATTTGATTTGGGTTCTCATTGGGTGGGAACAAGCATAACTCTAGCTATCATCCCTCCCGCAATAAGACCGATGAGCCATCAAATATAACAATATGGAAGCAGTCTAAAATAATTGATGTAGAAGTGTAATGAAGCGGCGACTGTATTGTATGAAAATGGACGCCTGGCTGGTTTGGTTTATCTTTTCTGCTAAATGGGCATATCGTGGTCGTGAATTACGCAGGCAGCTGATAATAAAATTATGATTTCATCCCTGCACAAGTTGGATCTTGGATGGCTATCAGCTCGTCAACTAAATACAGTTCATTGACACAAACTTTAGTGCTCAAATGTTCAATAGGAAAAAACCAAGTTTTATTTGTTTCAAGATATAATACTCTGTTACATATGAACATCTATTAGCTGGAATTGTTTCTGGACTAAATGGGCTGGCTCTCATGTCATGGTCTCATAGATCATTTAGCGAGTATATACAGCCTCATGCTATCTAATTTTGTTCTACATTCTTGTCAGATCAACATAGATGACAAGATCAAGGACATATACTGCCATCCGATTTATTTGTAATGAGAATAATATGTGCATTGCTGTGTGTAAGATAAGAGGAATGTCAAATTCAGAAGAAAGATTCAGATTCTCAACTTTTTTCGTTTGAATCAATCCAATTCCACTACTTGTATTCGCATTGGTTTCTGTTGAATAGAAAGAACAGAATATTTGTATTCACATTGGTTTCTCTTGAAGAAATGGTAATGAAAAATGGGCATTGCATTACAACTCAAACAGCAAGTTTTTCGTTAAAGTTAGGAGGATGAGTGGCACTTATCTACGTCACAACCAACTGGAAGGAAAAAGCTTATAGAACATTCCAATATTTGATGAATCCTGAAATAGCCTGTCAATTGTGAGCCTACAGTACTGCCCCTACAATTGGTGTATTTTCCATCGGACTTCACTTGGGTTCCAATATGTATGATTTGGTTAATAAGTATTGCTATGTTTTTGCAAATGCACAATCAATATTGTGTAAGTGTGATAATAAGCTCAGAGTTAACAATAGCAAAAAGAAGTATTACCTTGTTGATTCTTCATGAACTAGTACATGGCAGAGGAAATCAGAAATTGGGTGTAATTCAAACCACAATTATTATACATATTACATATAGCCAGAGTTCTACAATGCCAAATCAATAATCTATGGTGCTTCAACAATATTTTCCCCTGCAACCACATTTGGTGAAGGTCCTTTGGCTTCCATTAATCTCCACATGTACCAAGCCCCAACAGATCTGTAAGGCTTCCACTTCTCACAAACCTCTTCCATTTTCAAAGCCCCCGGCAACTCTTTTAATCCATACAAAGCTTGCACGCCTTTTCTCACTCCCAAATCACCCACCGGCAAAACATCCGGTTTGTGCAGTGAAAATATCATAAACATGTGTACAGACCAAGGGCCAATACCCTTCACACACGTCAACATTTTGAAAAGCATCTCATCGTCCATTTCAAGAATCGAATCATCCGATAAAACCCCCCTTACGTATTTGTCTGCTAAGTCATGAATGTAGCTCGCTTTTCGAAACGAAACTCCCGTTTCACGAAGCCGTTGAGCTGAGATTGATAAAACAGCGTCGGCGAGGACCTTATCTTCGCCGCCAACCAGGGAGAGGAAACGATCGTAGATTGATTTTGCAGCTTTGGACGCCAGTTGCTGATAAAGTATGCTTTTGACGAGAGACAAAAACGGCGTTCCACCAGACTCGAATGAGGGTGCACGGTGTGTGTCTATGAGGGTTGCTAGAAGAGGATCTGAGCCGCGTAGATATTGCAGAGCGAGGTCGATTTCGCCATTGAATGTTAGTGGCTTAACAATTTTGGGGGAATTATGAGGATTGTTGATAGGAGGGGTGTGGGTGCTAAGTTTTCGGATTTTTCGGGCACGAAATGGAATTTTGGAGGAGACTGAGAGGTTTTGAGAAGTTTCGTTTGCGGTGGTGTTGCTGGTCCGAGATGGCCTCTTCTTCATTTTTGGGAGAGTGTTTGCTAGGGCTTTCATGTGACGATGGCAGCAAGGGTTCGAATGAAAAGTGCCGCCGTCGTCTAGATCTATTTGAAGACTGTGGCCACACCCGAGGCCACCAACTAACACTTGGACCAGAACGTTTTTCACTCTGACATCAAAAAACGAAAATCTGGTTTTAAATGCCAATTATTAACCGCATCGTTTTACCATTGCTTGGAGATCACGGTAGGATATCTTATATTCTAATAATTTACTCATTTTATTATGCTAAGACTTATTCAATATTTGAATAAAATATGACTTTTTTTTTTTTTTTTTAATTGGTTTAACAGATAAGACCTTTCGTCTAATGTTCTAAAACCCATCCTGATCTGGTCAATTGAACCGATTCAATCGAGACCTGGGGCCTTCATTGGGCCAGATTAGTAGTTTTTCTATTCACCAAAAACTTTATAAATTGGGACAGAGATCGATGAACAATTGAAGGTTAGGATGTTGAGGTTTTTGAAGAGGAAGTGCCGATGAGTTGAATAGTGGCGACGGAGGTGATTTCCGGTGAGTGAATCAATCGAAAATCACAAAACTAAATCGATGACAACAACCCGCTATTGCCACCAATTGTTTTGGGGGGGGGGGGGGGGGGGGGGGGGGGACAGATAAGGGTTTTCATCAAGAGGCTTAAAGGATTTTAGGGGTGTTTTTATATTTTAAACTTTTAGACACTGGTTTAACCCATCGGTCAAACTGGTCAACCCGTAACCCAACCACTTTGCTGGGTTTCATCCATATGGTTTGTTATTAAAACACTGCTTTCATCTACTTTTATTATTTTTTTATTCCTCTGCAACTTTCATACCTTTGCTCTAACACTAGAGTGAGTCACTAGAATCTTTGTTTAATTATTCTTCAAATTAGTGTTAGAAATTAAATATCAAAATTTTTGTAAGCTAACAAATAAATTAAATAATTACTGAATATTTTATTAACAAAATTTACAAATAATATATATTATTTTTCAAAAAGGCATAGTAAATGCGTATAAGAGTTTTTTTAATTTTCTAAAAATAAGAAATTAAAAAAAGAATTTACTCTAGTGCTAGAGTTGTCCGGACTCTAACAACTGGAGTATTAGAATGACTTTCTCTAACTGCTAGAGTGAGGAGGGTAAAAGTTGAAAGAAATTTGATGAATGGTCTTATCTATTTAGACAATTAAAAAAAAGATCAAATATCAATTTGATCATTAAAAAAAAGGTTTTATAAGTAATTATTTTATCTTTTATTTTATGATTCATGTCTCTACCTTTACAAAAAACATTAATTAATACATAAAATGTTAAAGGGTGTCTATTTATAACTAATCTAATTCATCTTCTATTGTCAATTGTTAATTCTCAATTTTTTTTCCAAAAATTTTATTTTGAAACTGAACTCTCGACGAATCCTGCCATCATTTGAATATGTTTAAATAGCAGTATTATGTTTACAATTAAGTTGTACAAACAGGCAAAAAACAAAGGACATACTAGTTATTTTATATGAATTTTGTGCAATTTACTTATTTACATGACTCAGTTGTAAGCATAATATTATTGGTATTTTTATTTTCAGTTGTTATAAAAGATTTCAATTTAAGTCTTTCATCAACATCAAGGTAATTGATTGAATCAAGATTATCTCAAAGATTGTAAAGAATCTCTTGAACTATTATACAAAAATCATTATGAAATTATTGTAATATAACACTTAGTGGCCGTTTGGATCAGGGGTAAATAAGATAACTGGGTAGTATTCGTTTATTTTACAAGATTACTGTGTTTGGTTTGTAAGTAATAAAATATTATGGTAATCTTTTATTGCAAATAATGGTTACTGTTGATAATGTGGAGGGTAATCTTATTACCTTGCTAGGGGCTGTTATTAAAACATTATCGGGGTAATATAATTTTTCTTCCCATTTTGCCCTTAATTAAAAACCATTTCGGACACAATTGCCCTCAAATGTATATCGAATAACAATTAGCCAACCCCCTTACATTTGAGAAATTAGTAAAACACCCCAATCACAAAAAAGTTTAAAGTTAACAAAATACCCCCAACCACCTAAGACCACCACCACTAGCTGTCGACGTTAGTCACCGTAATGATGCATGACCAGCGGGATCTGGCCGGTCATGCGCCGGTAAGGCCTTTTATAATCCATGGCTAAAAACAGCCAGATATGATGTTTCTATGGCCGTTTCACGGCCAAAGATGTGGCCATAAAACAACAACAGATCTGGCTGTGAAATGGCATTACCAAAGATCTGGCCTTTTCACGGTCAATTATGTGGCCGTTTCATGGTCACATCGAAACGGCCACATCTTTAGCTGTGAAATGACCATAGATCTAGCTGTTTTTTTAGCCATGAATCTATGATCCATTGCCATTTCTAACTTTTTTGACGCACGGTTGGCCATATACGGCCAGTCGTGCACCATTCCTTCGACTGTTGGTAGTGGCCCGGGGTGGTGGCTGGCTGCCGGCAATGCGTTGGGGTGGGTGGGGGTGATTTTGCTACAAATTAAAGTTTTATATGACTTTTGTGTTTTAGCAAAATTTCAAATGTAAGGGACTATAATAAATGATTCAAAAAATAATAATAACAAATATTATTATATTAATATTTAAAAAGGAAGGCAATTTAGTAATCTATATAACATACCTATCTATTTATCCTCCCAACCAAACATATTATTCACCAATTTATTCGAACCAACCAAACACATTTTTTAAACATTCTTAATAATCTTCAAGGTGATTTTTCTTTCGTTAATATAATATACCCATATAATAAAATATTATATGATCTAAACGCTCCCTTAAAACAGTTAATTTATCTACCTACAATAACACTACACTTAACAAAGTCTTATACAAAACAATAATGTTTTGCTTGCAAAAACTCTCATATAAAATAAGGTGGTAGGGCATTACCACGTCATCAAAATTAAATTAAAATTCTCTTATTAAGTTTACTTATTTTCATTCTATTAAGGAATAATTAAACATTTCCATTCCTCTTAAAAAATTAGCCAAAAATCATCTTGGACCTTATGAGGCACAAGCAGGTAACTTCTACTAATAGGCCCAGGGCTATGGCCCAATTCTAGCCAGCCCTACGTCAAAGTTCATGTCATGGGCCAAACCCAAGCTTAAGCCCACCTCTCTCCATATTGGCCCACCTAGGCCCATGTCCGTTGTTCCATGGTAACCTCCAATAGTTCAAAATCCCACTAAAACCCTAATACACCTACTTCTTATTTGAGTTTTATCCTAATTCACCCGAGATCATATATCTTACGCGAATTAGGACTCTCAATCCTACTAAGGCTTGTAAACCAAAGTCTTTCCTATTTACTAGTACTCTGCCATTACGGATTCAAAGTTCTATTAGGATTCAAATATCCTATGACCACTATATAAATAGAGATCATTCCTCTCATTAGGGAAAATCTCAATACCATCTACTTGCTCCTAAGTTTTTGCTCTTAAGAGTTATACATCAATGTCGTAGTTTTAGTCTCCGACTAAACTTCCGGTAACCCTTCTTTCCTTTAAGCCCTCACTAAATAGTCTCATTCAGCCTTATTAACTTGAGCGTCGAAGTGCCTACGGCAAACACCACACTAGTGTTTACGTAAGCTTCGTGCTTGTTTGCTTTGTGTGCAGGTTCAATGGATTGTCAGTGACCTCAACCTCACAAGATCAGACCTTTTTCCATAACTGTAGATTTTAGTGTATATATATCTCGGTATCTCTTTTACTTTTGAATGGCCCATCTCCACTCATATAACTTTTACCCATCCATTAGAATCTCAATTTTGTAGCCTCATAATTTGTCGAATTTATGGTGAAATGAAGTTCAGTTTTGATATGAGATAACCAAAAACCAAAGTCACATTCATTATATCTCTTAATTTCTTAATTACTACCATTATAATTATTTTATGAATATATGTTTCTGTTCGTTTAAATTTAACAGCATGTTCAATGTTCCTAAATTATATCAAGTAAACAAATTAATCATTAAACATCAATTCTAACACGGCAAGTTAGCGTAAAAACAAGCTAGCACACGATTATGCCTTTAGGGTTGATAAACAAGTCTCAATCACAGAAACTTAATTCGTAAAGTTAGAAAGATTATCTGAAAAAATCACTCTGTATCTTCAAAGAAACGAATAATATGTTTATACAGGAAGATGACAACCAACTGAAGAAACTCTCACTATTGACTAGTTATGAAATAAGAAAGAACTCTAAATAAAATAGAAAAAACATGTAGAAAACTTAAATGTCCCGGAAACACCGAAACAGTGGATTTCGGTCTCAAAAAGATCCCCAACTGAGATACCGGTTGGGTCACGATACCAAGCTCAAAACGAGTTTTTTGTTGATATCTTATAGGTCCCGTAACTTTTTTCTAATCAAATTAAAAGTTATTGTTGCTTTAACTGGACATGCCTATTTAGGATTTAGAACTTTGAGTCGTGCATTTGCGCTTCAAACATTTTACGTCAAATTCAACAAATTCAACAGGGCTTGAATCTCCCACACTCGCAACAAAATAATTTGCCTTTCCTTTCTTCTTGATCTGCTCAACGTAAAAATAAAGAGATTTCTACAATAAAGGAAAGCGATTTATGGAACATTGATGAAAAAATGAAATAATAAATAGAGATTAAATGTAAACGAGATTTTGTCGACGAGTCGAGCAAATTTGGAGAGCGGAAAGCCCTAGAATCCTCGGTATTTAAAGTGTAAAACAAGTGAACTTAATAAGATAATTAATTAAATTAATTTAATTTTGATGATGGAGCATATTATCACATCATTTTATATAAAAGTCTTTGTATAAGATTTTGTATGGATAATGTCAGTTAACTATTTATTATTAAATAAATATCATATATAGAAAGTTTTTGTAGACTTCAATTTGTATAAATAGAGGTCATAAAATTAAGTGAATAAATATATATAAAATTTAAATTAATAATTATAGATAAATGATTACTAACAAAAATTGATGTCAAATTATATATTTATTTTATATATGTAACATTACTTTTATTGGAACTAAAGAGAAAGAAGAAAATTTATGAATAGAAAAGTATAAGGAAATTTTAAGATAGCAAAGAATTATTTAGAATTTCAAATAACGACTTGAAAAAGAATAACAATAATCCCACAAGTTTAGGATCTACCTCAGTATATGTACTGTAAATCCGTGTGAGTTGCACATGCTGTTGTAAAACAATAATGAACGCACTGCCAGACTACCAATTAAACAAACTATTATGTGCATACGGCCAACTAACTCAACATTCTGGATAAGACGACTCCGACCGTCACCAACCTTAGCGCACAGTAATACCTGTCGACGTTAATTTCTTACACGTGTCAGTTGGCCTACAAATTTTTTAAATTTAGAGCATCGTCCTGTCAACTGAGCCCCACCGACCACCATCCGTTTCTCGAATCATTACTTCAAATTATTGAATGCAGCTTCATTAACTCAGTCCAGTATCGTCGATCCAATCAGCGTTTCTGTGATAACTACTATTACGAGAAACTATGAGTTTCAGAGACGATAACGAAGATGGAAGGGACCTACGGAAGCCGTTTTTGCACACTGGGAGTTGGTACAAAATGGGTTCCAGACAGTCTAGTATCATGTCTTCATCAGCTCAGATCCTCCGTGATGGTTCCATCTCCGTCGTCTTTTGCGTCCTCATCGTCGCCTTGGGCCCCATCCAATTCGGTTTCACGGTAATAACATGTCTACATACAAGGCTATTTTCTCATCCAATTCACGTCTTTATTGAAGGCGCATTTATTATTTGATGCAGTGTGGCTACTCTTCACCTACGCAAGATGGAATCATCAATGATCTTAATCTTTCAATTTCAGAGGTTTGAGAGTGTGGCATTTGATATTGGATTTTTGATTTCTATTCACTATACGTTATATAAATTTAGAGTTTGTTATTGCCAAACAGTTCTCCATATTCGGCTCTTTAGCAAATGTGGGAGCTATGGTTGGTGCGATAGCTAGTGGTCAAATAGCAGAGTACATTGGCCGGAAAGGGGTAAACATGCTAACTCCATTCAGTTAATAATTATTAAAAATTTTCATTGTGATTTGATTTCTGAAGCATATTTATTAGTTGCTTAATTCTTTCTATTCTATAGCAGAATTAAATTGCAATTGAAACATGAAATTTGATGTTTACCACCTTGAGTTAGTCCTACTAGGGCTTTGATTACATATTGATTCATGTACTGATTACCAACTGCTGAATTGTGATGCTAAATGGCAGTCGCTAATGATTGCTGCGATTCCTAATATCATAGGATGGCTCGCCATATCGTTCTCCAAAGTGAGTTATCACTACTCCATGATAACTTAGTTCTTTTACTTGTCTGTGCTATGCAAGTTTCTCACTGTGTACAACTTTTTGGTGCTGTTATAGGATTCTTCATTTTTATTTATGGGAAGGTTATTGGAAGGGTTTGGCGTTGGTGTAATCTCTTACACGGTAATTTTGAAGATTTTTAGCTTTTAAACTGTCATTCGAATGTTTTTGGAGGATATAAGGCTTAAAATCAGTAATTCTGTTGGTTTAAATATTGTCTAGGTGCCTGTGTACATAGCTGAGATATCACCTCAAAACATGAGAGGAAGTCTTGGATCTGTGAATCAGGTTGGCTGTATTTTCATGCTCTTTTAGTTTGTCAATTAGTCAGCTCATTATTCAATATATCTATATCTAATGATGTTGACTAATTAGTTCCGTAAACTCTTTTATTTTCCTAGCTCTCAGTTACAATTGGAATATTTCTAGCGTATTTCTTGGGACTATTTGTCAACTGGAGAGTGCTTGCAGTTTTAGGTGAGACCATAATTACTTTCTTGTTTTACATCAAATCTTTCAAGTACTCCAACAATATGAAAACCAAATTCTTTGGGACTTCATGTGTGTGGTATAAGTGTATGGACCTGTGTTTGTAAATTTCATCAAGTCAGTTTTCTCTTTGACAAATGAATCAATGGGGAAATCACCTTGCTGTGCAAAATAAATCACTATTGAAAGAGAAACACAAGTGTTAAACTCTTTTGGTGCTGCTGATTTCTCATGTGTATTTCATTGCAACAAAGTTTCCCTTCACTTGATGCTCCTTCAGTTCAATTTTTATAATACTTACCATTCAACTAAGTTGATTATTGCATAGTTTTAATCAATGAGTTATTTACACTTCATTTGTAGGGATTCTGCCATGTACAATATTGATACCTGGGTTATTTTTCATACCGGAATCTCCTCGATGGCTGGTACACTCATATTAATTTTGTATTGATAGGAATCTTTTTTTTTTTTCCTTTTCTTTTCTGGTTCATCTCTCTCCTGTTTACTCCCCTTATTTCTTGTTGTTTGTTGGGGTGCTCTGTGACGTTACATTTGTATCCAGGCCAAAATGGGGATGACAGAAGATTTTGAAGCATCTTTGCAAGTTTTACGGGGTTTTGATACAGATATTTCTATTGAAGTTAATGAAATAAAGGTGTTGAACTAAACTTTCACTAATTTATTTTTAACACCTAAATTAAATTTATGCCATCTTGATCTAACTCAGTTAATTTGTGTTGCACAAAATCCGTCAATGATTAGTTTAAGGATCCAGTTCTTGTGCCTCTTTTTCTAAATAACAATGTCTAATGGATGTACTATACACAGAGGTCTGTAGCGTCCTCAACCAGAAGAACAACAATACGATTTGCTGATCTAAAGCGAAAAAGATATTGGTTTCCGTTGATGGTAAACTGGTTTATTTTGTTTTCACTGATCTCATTTTCTGATGTTGTTTCCTTTGTCCTTTAAACTGTTTAGAACCCTCAACTTTAATGTGAATTCAACCATTTCAGGTAGGAATTGGATTATTGGTTCTCCAACAACTCACTGGCATCAACGGTGTTTTGTTCTATTCGAGTACCATTTTTAAAAGTGCTGGTTAGATCAATACTTTTTTGACTTTGCACCTTTATTTGCTGATCTTGGAAAAGATGGTGGTTGATTTTTTCTTTTCACTTGGAGTTTTTAAAATGTGTAAATGAAATGTATAGACCACTCATGTTCTGCATATGCAATATGGTTCAGGGTATGAGACATCAGTGCAACAAACTTACTGTCTGACATCTGCCCAGTATTGTGTCATAAAAAGCAGGAAAAGAAAATAAATTTTATTTACTAGAGTTTGTATCTTCATGTGTCCCTGTGTAAAACTGGTAACTTAAACCAAGTGAGCTGTCCGGATTAGGTTCACTACGTTGTATTGATTGTGCCCCAGCAGCTACTTACCCTGAGTTTGCAGCATCTCATTGCTAATAAAATATAAATGGTGGAATTTGATTGGAATATTTTATTAATCTTTTAGAGGAAATGACATTATAAGTGGCATGGTTTCTAGATTTTTTATGCTCGATGCCAATACTTTATTAAGCTTCTGCAAATTTGAACAGGGATCTCTTCAAGTAACGCTGCCACATGTGGACTGGGGCTTGTTCAGGTAAAATTTCATGACTGCATTGTTGTGATTCCTTGTACAGGTATTCAGACACAGCAAATGACTTATGATTAGGCTCATCTAGTAAGGTCCTTTCACTTTTGTAGGTCATTTCTACTGGGGTCAATACATGGTTGATGGACAGAGCTGGCCGCAGGCTGCTTCTTTTAGTGCGTTTGAGCAAATTCTTCATTCTTTTTCCTGTTTAATTTGAATCTATATGAACTTAAGAGGACAAACTAATTAAAACAAAAAATCAATTTGAAATCTGTTTTGCAGATATCCTCAACTGGGATGACTGTTAGCATGTCACTTGTTGCAGTTGCATTTTATTTGGAGGTTAGTGTGCAATAGATCCCATTTGTTCTTTGTTAGTTTTACTATGTAAAGTTTATTGTTCATCAATTTCAAGAGTTTATGAACCTTGGATAAGAACTTTTTCCAGTTTTTCCTTTCTACTAAGCTAGGACTTCCTTTTGATGCTTTTTTCTACCTATGCTTCTTGTTCACTTTGCCAGGGTATTGTGTCTGAAGATTCTCGTTTATATAGCATACTGGGGATACTGTCACTTGTGGGCCTTGTGGTATGAACGCAGATCATTGTCGTTTCTTCTTGATTTCTATTTTAGGTAATTGTTTCCTTATTAAGGATTTCTCTCTCAGTTTGACCAACAATTTTTTTATCCAGCTTCTGGTGATTTCCTTCTCCTTGGGAGTTGGGGCAATTCCTTGGGTTATTATGTCCGAGGTACGCAAAATTAGATTAGCAAAAAGTTTTCACATCTTTTGGCTTATGCTTTATCTAGGGATTTTGCTGGTGGTTTTAGTAGTTGTTGGTTGATCTTGATTTGTATAAAGCCCAACAGCAATTGGTATTTAAAATATCTGAAATCCTTTTCAGCAACTTCTTGCTTTGATATGCTGCGGGCTTGTACACTTGTTTAATAAATTACTGCTATAATTGCTTTTGGCAAAGTTTTTTTCTTTCTCGAGAGGTGTAGAAAAAGAAACAGATTTGCAATAGCTTGAAGTTTTTGCTGGGGAGAATGGGGAGAATGGCACATGTACCTCAAGAAATGCTAAGTTTCTGTAGCTTGTAATATGGTTGTTTGCTAATGACAATTGGGTTATGGCTTTGCTCTTATGACTTTCTGTGTTATTCTCCCTTAGCATCTCCAACTTTTTTCTTCATAATTTAGAACTTCAAATTTTAATTTTTCTGTCGTTTGTAACAGTAAAAAAAAAAAACTTAACTTAGTTGGATCTAGGAATTGCTATATTAAATCATGTATCTGTCTTCTGCATTTTTTTTATCCCTCTTTTTGACGTTCGGCTTTTTCAACTTTCAAATTTGCGTATTGCAGATACTTCCAGTAAATATCAAGAGCCTTGCGGGCAGCGTTGCAACATTGGCAAATTGGCTGGCATCCTGGATAGTTACAATGACTGCAAATTTACTTTTGACTTGGAGCAAAGGAGGTAGCTTGCTCTGTCTCTCTCTGTGTTATATGTGTGCGTTGCAATGGTGGTGTACATCAAATTTTGTATTAAAGTGTTTTCTTCGCTTGCAACAGGAACCTTCACTATTTACACGATAGTCACTGCTTTCACTGTTGCTTTTGTGTCCCTTTGGGTCCCTGAAACCAAAGGAAGAAGTCTGGAAGAAATTCAGTCTTCTTTTAGATGAAAGTGTTGTATCTACCCTAATCCTTTGCAAGTATGTGTCAATCTGGCGGTCTGGCCTCGCATCATCAATATTCAGGCAAATTGCTTCCATCGTTGCTCTATAAATCATGTGCATAATTTATTGGGTGTAAGGGGAAAAAGGAAGACAAAAACCATATTGTTATTATTATTTTCAAAAATTCTTCTAATATTATTTTTTTCATCCAGTATATTGAATAAAAGGTTTCTTCATTCTACTGGAGAACACTGAGGAATGTTACAGAACACAAACAATAATGCTGAATAAAAGAAACAGTCGGAGAGGATCATTCAGAAAGATGGTGTGAGTTTTCACTTTTGGGATCCTTCTGCATGTAGAGAAGCAAGAAACTGCTTGAGATACCTATTGTAGACGCAAGGTCGCTCTAAGTGAACCAAATGACCTGCATTCTTTATGCCCTGAAATGTTGCATTCTCTCCTAATTGCCTGTAAGCAAACAACCAAAGTCATCTTAGATTTTTATGGGACTCTTAACTCTTAACCATTCCATTAACAACTTTCTTTACCGACTAATAATATTGATCATTAATCTGGTTTGTCTATCTGTGAACTGGTCTTTTTATATATATAAAGGTCTGATAGTGAAATATCTGGATCAAAATCATATAGCTTTATTTGTTTATGGAGTATTGAAGGTCCTTGTTAAATGTACGTTTCACATCGAGGTTTGAGGCTCAGACTTCAGAAGCGTAATAAATGCAATTAAAGTGAAGTTGACATACTCTTTCATGTTGTGGGCTAGCTCTAGATTGAATATTTGATCTTTCTCACCCCATAGGAGATGTATTTTCTGCAAGTAGTTGGCCAGAATTTATCATTTTCTGGAAAAAGAAATGGGAAAATGAAACAACAGACGAAGGTGCTCATTAATTTGGTTACCTGTGGAAATTTTGGGACGATGGGGTCTTTGTTACTTATCACCAAAGCATCCAGGAGTTCAGACCTCTCCTTCCTATTGGTGAACATCACCTGTCATTACTCTTAACACCTCGTTAATAGCAACTACCAAAATTAAGATAACAAAATGATCTTGGGGTGCTATTAAATATGTCTATTCTAGATGAATCACCACAACACTGCTTTAAACCAGCAATTCTGTTTGACAATTTAATCGGAATAATAGTTAGGTGTAGTTAGTTGAACAAAGAGGATCGTCACGGAATGGTACTACAAACATAATATGCATCTAATTTACAACTTCAAATTATTTAAAGGAAACCGTGTTAANTAATAGCAACTACCAAAATTAAGATAACAAAATGATCTTGGGGTGCTATTAAATATGTCTATTCTAGATGAATCACCACAACACTGCTTTAAACCAGCAATTCTGTTTGACAATTTAATCGGAATAATAGTTAGGTGTAGTTAGTTGAACAAAGAGGATCGTCACGGAATGGTACTACAAACATAATATGCATCTAATTTACAACTTCAAATTATTTAAAGGAAACCGTGTTAACGTCTGTTTAGTTTTATAAAAACTTCATCTCACTTTCAACATTTAAAGTTTTTTTTCTTTTTTTCCTGGTGATTAGGGATGTTTATACCAGTTTACACATATTTTGACTAATCCTCCAGGACCTATAAGTTAACGATTTGGTAAACCCTTCACTGATTATCCCTATTAACAATAGAGAAAGATTAAATTCAAGGTATTTCAAATAATATATTCAAGAGTCTCTATCGATCTACCCGAACACTAAGGGTGGTTAACATCTAAAGAATTAGTGTCAACTATTAGTCGAGTAGGAAAATGTTCTAAAACTTTTCTAAAAATTATATATACATAACATGAATTTATTGATTTACATATTTTATAAATATGGTATATTAATAGACTTTTTCGAATCATTGATCCCTGTCAGTTTTGTCGTATTGGCTTTGTGACGTAGGTCAAATTAAACCTGTACTATGCATTAAATACGCTATGCAAGATGTGAATAATACGCAAACCCATTTGGCATTTGCAAAGAACAAAAATGACCTCTCTATATATGGTATTCTCATCAGCCACATGGACAGGCATATATTTGTGCAAGTTCTACCTAACTGGTTTTATTGGGAATTTTCAATTTGTAATTTGATCAATCATCCTTCAACGGAAACCATGTGATTTTACTCATGCAAATGGCTATCCAGAGTCCAGACATTGTTTAAATATGAATACAAATGAGCATTAAACTATATGTAAAAAAATTATGAAAAGAGTTAACGGTAGAAATTGAAAAATAAGTGCAAATTACCTCAAGATAATCTTTATGAAGGCGATCAGGGAACCAGAGCTTCTTGTGAACAGCAACAGAGAGAAGAGCTTTTAAACCCTTAACCGAATTCGGCAACAATAACTCTGAAGATGAAGAGAACCCAAGTCTGCTTACTGTTTCATCAGTTATAGAATCAGTCATGGCCAGGATCGAACCAGACACCACCATGCTCTCAACCAAACTCGGATACAACCCAGCCAACTTAAACGCAACCATGCCACCATAACTAAACCCCACTGCGATACACTTATATATCCCAAGTTTTGCTAAACCTTTAGCCAAATTTTGGGCCTGAAAAGCCGGTGACCGATCGGCATTATCTGTGCTGGAGCCCCCAAAGAAGAGAAGGTCAGGGACATAAACGGAGTATTTTTTAGTTAAGGCACCTATTTGGAATTGCCAAGTGACAATACCTTCAGCAGCAAAACCATGTACAAGAACAACAACTGGTTTGGTTGGTTTGTTCAGCTCTTGAATATTCTTTTCGCCCTTTTTCGGTTTCTTCAAGGTTTCACATGGAACCCAAAAGTTCATGACGGTGCCTGGCTCGATCTCTACTGTGTAGGGTTGCACCCCAGCCATCTTCATGAGCCCATGCAACAATGGCTTCTGTGCTGCCACAAGGTTCACCATCTCTTTCACTGGTTAATTTCCCTTTCCCTTTCCCTTTCCCCCAGTATGTATTGTTTTCTTCTCTTCAAATCTAGCAGGGATTATAAAGCGAGTGAAAGGGTTTTAAATTAAACAAAAGAAAGGCAGGTTTGGTGCCGGGTTGTTATCTGTTGCCACAAAACGAGGTGCTTTTACATTATTTAATTATAGAATAGAAATTTAGAGTTGGAGAAATGATACACTGAGTGTTGAATTTGATAATAGTTGAAATGAAATGATGGGCCAGAGGATGTAGTCGTGGCTTAATGAATCAATAATGTCCATATAATACATTAATTTAGCTTGCACGAAACCTTACAATCTTTTGGTAAATTTTATGGTTAGATTTGTTAAACTGTTATTTTGTAAACATTTGTAAAATTGTTGACTTTGAGGTTTGAATAGTTTATGTCCAAGGTTGTTTGATTTTGATCACCTGCACTGCCTACTCTTCACCACATGTCTACGTATCTATTACCACATCATACTAAGATAAGGCTGATTCTTAAATAAGACATTGACATTAAAAAATATATATGTGGTAGGTGACATATGATTTTCTTAATGTTTCAAACATATTTTTGTAAAAGATTCTCATAATCATATCTAACTATTGTTTATTTGATTAGGTTGGTAGTATATGTTAAGAACTATAAGTTAAGTAAACTTTTGTTCTTAGATATACAAACACATATGAGTGTTCAAAAGAACTGGTTAGAACCGGAATGGGCGGGTACCCGGGGTTTGGTTTCGGTTCCTACCCAGAACCGACCGTCAACGGGTAGATTCTGGTTCCAAATTTTTAGAACTGTTACTATGCGGTTCCGGTTTTAGTTCTTATAGTTGAGAACCGGAACCGAAACGGGAACTGAGACTAATATAAAATAAAATTAAAGAGTAGGGGGTTAATAAAAACTTTTGTAGAAAAAGTAATATGAATACATTTATATTTATATTTCATAACATTTAAAGTAAGTTGATTTGACTTTTGAGAATCTACATTTACAAAGTAATGGAGTTTGTAATTTTGAATTTATAATTTGTAATTTTATTTTTGTTAACAAGTGTCAGAGGGGTATTTGTAAGTTTTTAAGGGTTTTTTTGCCATTTTAAAAACTTTTGGGGGGTCATAAAATTTTATAGGGTACTTAGAATCGAAACCGGAACCATTGTTACAGGTTCCGGCTCTGGGTACCTAGGAACCGGAATCGTTGGTTCTGGTTCTAGTTCCAAATTTCAAGGAACCATCGGTTCCGATTCCGGGTCCTTAAAAAAATGCAGGGTACCCCAAACCGAACACCCCTACAGACACATATTCACATTTTGAGGGCGTAAGTGAAAGAAATTGGGATGAATTTTTTTTTTCTTTTTTGTATGACTGAGAGTGTCTGGGCTAACTTACACTTGAACTATCAATCAGGTAAGAGCTCTAGTGACCACCCCTATTAGAGGCTGTAGGGACTCGAAATCAGGAGACCTTGTTAGATCCCCATTTACTCTTTAACCATTAGGCCACCCAGTAGTGGTTATTAGTCATAGCCATAATCAAGTGAATAAGATGCATATCATAAATTATAAATTAAAGTGATAAAAGTTTTATACTCTTTTCCAGAAAAAGAAAAACAAATAAATTTGTTTATAACCATAACAAAGGCGACATCACACGTTGTAGTTTTCTTAAAATTTGATAGAAATCATGGAAGCTTCCCCCTCCAAACATGGGTAAGGTTGGGTTGTGCCTTCTTCAAACACCTGTACTTCTACTACTTCTCTCTCTCTCTCTCTGCCCTTTGTTATTTGGAGTTGCCTTACTATTTTGTTATCATATCAAACGTCAAAAGAAATTTTATAAATTACTGTAACTGTTTGATAACTATATAGAAAAAAATATTTTTTATTTCTGGGAAATTATTTTGTTTAATTTTGAGAAGCTTGAGAAAGTTTAGCCTATTATCTCTCTCCTTGTGATTAGATGACAAACTCTTCATATTGAGGTTAATTATATCTAGAGAGTCTTATATTCGAATTGTAAAAGAGATATTTATATATTTATGTAATTACTTTTGGGTTGAGTGATCTGTCATCCGTTGCCCTGAGATTAGGCAGACTTTAATGTAGGTATTAGGCCTGAATATACCCAAAAAAAAAAAAAAAAAAATAATAATAATAAAAAAGTTACAGCCTATTCAATCCCTTATTTATTCATTATTTTAGTGGAAAGAAGAGCCCGAAATAGTTAGATTCTTCATTAATTTGATTTTATACAAAACTTCAAACTTAAATAAAATAAAAATATTTGATCAAGTCATGGCAGTTTTTGTGATGATGCTAGCGGAGCCCAAATAAGAAATGAAAGGCTCAAAAAACTTGAAGGTTAGCAAAGGCCCATTGTTGATAAATTATCTATTAATAACAAAGGCTACATGAATGAGATTTGTCTTTAGTAAATGAGTGAACAAAGTATTAAAGCAGCCGCAAATTGAAGCTATATCAAGTTAATTTGTTAATTGTTTACATAATTGTACAATATTGTCTACATATTACAAGTAAGGAAAAATCTAAAATTCCCAGTAGCTTAATTTGATGTTTTTACTTGGAGGAGTTATTCTAATGGGTTATTTACTTCACCTAATTCTTCTGCTTATGCCCACATAAATATTAATGACTATAATCTCTCAATCAATAAATTAAACCTCAAAATTTTCTATTCTAATGGTACAGAGTTCAGAGACTTTTAACTTTGTCAGCATACTGAAAGAGAAAGTAGCTCCATTTTGAGCAAAGTTTACCAAATTCTAAGCACCTCTTTCACACCAATACTTTCTGGCAAAATGCTGCAACTTAACTACTGTATTGCCTTTACTCAGTACTAGAACTTGGCATTAAATGTTCTCTGCATCTGCAACCATCAACAACTATTCTCTTCTCTGTCCATTCCTCTATGCCATGAACAGTGTTGACTTTCAAAGAAGGATCACATGAACCGATATCACATCAGTTAAATCAATCTTGAAATGATATGATAGCTCATGAAATGAAATTTCATTTTCGGTATTAATAATTCAGCTTCGACATCAGTTTTTCATGTTTTATGATAAATTAATTAATGTATTCACCATTTTTAAAATATTTGTAGTGATAAATTGTGGGTGGTGTGAGTCAACGGAATTTTTGACAGAAGATAATTTAAAAGTACAGGATTTTACAACTGTGCAAGAGGATGAAGCCAATTTGACGGTCGGATTTTTTTAGACAATGCTAAGCAAATAGGACAAAAGGCTTTACTGTTGTCTGAACCGAACAGTGTCCTCCGGCTCAGATCAGAAAGACGTTGATGGACATTGTGATTGGAGTATCAGATTTTATCACCAGAATCATATGATATGAACCAACTTCTCAGTTTGTGAAATTCAGTAAAACCAAAAAGGACCATTTCCATAACAAATAGTTTCAGTACTCTTTAGTTCATATAAATATATAATACTATAATCGTACTCAGCTAGATGCATGTTCTACATTACAAATATAATTTATATAACATCAACGGATTAAAGGGTACTTTTATAATCAACATTGTTCATCATGATCATGACCAACACCATGATCATCACCTAGCTCGAGAAGTGAGAAAATGAATTAACTAACAGAAAGGTTTTATATAACTAATCAAAGAAAAAAGAAAGTTAAAAAACTTAAAAAGAAGAAAAGCAAAATAAGCACATAGTATTATCCCATTTTCACTCCATCTATGTATGACGGAGAAGAAAAATGGAAAACAACTTGAAAGAAAAAGAATTGGATTTGACGAGACGAGACGAAACGGGACCATAACCATCACCATCACCATCATAGACATCTTCAACATCATCATCGTGATACACAATAAGTTAATATATATGGTCACACTTCCATCACTTCATGATCTTGACCGTCGACCTTACTTTCTTTTATCTTGTAAAGTCATGGACAAGACTAGGCCTGTCAGTGACATTGAGTCTCCAGGAAAGAAAGGGAATGCCCGTTTCAGAATTTTGATCGCTGTCTTCAATGAACCTAAATTCATTCGCCGGTGAAAAACAAGGCATTTTTTGAGCCTGTGCGTGGTGAACCCATGAACTGTTGTGGTAACCAGGGTGTGCCTCCATTACTCCAGATGCGTTTGCACTTGCACCTGTGTTGTTTGCATTTGCTGCTGTGGCTCTTCTCTCTTCCTTCTTGAACCGAATTCCGCAGGCATTGCAGAGAGACTGCAATTAATATCAAATTAGTTAAAAAGCTTAATCAAGGGAGAAAACCAGATTCAAAAGAAAAAGTGCATATATATAAAGAATTATAAAAAAATATATATATATATATTCCCGTACATCTCAAATATATATGTAACTAAATTTAGGAATTTTTATATTAGTAACTACCTTTGGGCCTCTAGGTCCATTCCTCCAAAGTGGTGTAGAAGTTGTGTCACAGTTAGCACAACGACGAGCGAGGAGAGGATCATTAGCGGGGTTGTTATTGGAGCTAGTACTTCCTCCACGGCTGGGCTTATGCGTTTGTGATGCATAAGGTGTATTTTTGTTCGGCAATAAATCCCAACAAAAGTTTGACATGCAAGAATCAGAGCGTCTTTCATGGCGGATCCGCTTCTCATCGTCTTCGCACAAACGAGTAGAAGGGGTTCCCAAAGATAGAGTACAATCAACGGAAGAAGAAGGGGACATAGAACAATACATGTCTGTTTCATCGAAAGATTTGTGGTTTGGCATCGAAAATAGCATGGAAAAGGAATTGCTTTGGCTATGAAACAGACCGCATGAACATGGACCCACCATGTTTCCTTGAGAGCTACTGCACCTATGCATCATTTCTTGAAATCTTCTATCTTTTTTTTTCCCTTCTGTTAAAAGGATAGTCAATCAATCTCTCCTTTTCTTCAAATTTAAAACTATTAGGGAAAGGATCAAATGAACGGATTCAGAAGAAGAAAATTAAGAAGAAGGACAAGAGAAATTAGGAGGTAGAAGAAGAAGAAGAAGAAGAGGTTTATGTTTATGAAAGTGAGAGAAATTCAAACAAAGAAGGAGAAGTAATGCAATAATAAACAAATGGGTGATGGTGAGTTTATAGTTAAAGAAATACTCAGAGAGTAGGAGGCAAATAGTAAAAGTGGTAAGAGGAGAGCGAGATGTAATAATATAGTGTTTGAAAAAAAAACTTAGAAGAGAGAGCTAAAATGGTACGAGAGGGGTGAGAGTGAGAAGAGTTGGTTGTCTGGTAGCTTTATAAGCTAATAAAATGGCGAAATAACAGTCAGCACCTGCAGTCCACGTTGTCGTGAAATGCAAATGGAGAGATAAGCATACGTATATAGTAAGAGAGATATAAAGACACAGAGACAGAGAGGGACCCAGAGTGCATGTTATAGATAGAAAAAAAAAAAAAAATGGTGAATGAAAAATTGAGTGAAATGAGTCAGTAGTGAAGTAGTGGTAGGGTAATGGCAAGTGTATATGCAACAGTGCTTAAATAATAAAAAGAAAATATACATGAATCGGTGAAAGTATTGCTATAGCGCCGTTGCGGCCACTGCTATTTAGTGTATTTATTAAGAATTTTGGTTCTTGCATTTCAACTGCATGGAGTTTTCAGCTCAATTTATACCCAGAATAGGCAAAGTAAGTTAGATAGATTTAGTTAAAAAAATAAAAAGAAAGAGGTGGGGTTTGCGGTGGAGGCGCTCTTAACAATGCTAAGGGAGCAGATGGGTTGGTCATTGGTTAGTCAAAAGAGCCCACGTGACTAGCGGGAACAGTCTTCCATGGATCTGCCTTCTCCGATCACGAGGCCCCCCTTCCCCTCCCTCCCTCCCTCTCCCCTCTCCTTTCCCTCTACTACTCTCAAACCCAATACATCAAAAACCTCTGTCCGTATCCGTATCTCTGCTCTGTCACTGCCACCCTCCCAAGGAAAATGGAATAGTTCTCTTCTCATTTACACGCGCTTTACAATAACAATACTCCCCACGCTTCAATCACTGTGCCACATTCTCTCATATTAATTAATTATACTACTATTACCTACTTCTTAATGCGTATTCGTTTCAACCATGTTTTTTATTTAATAAATTTTAGGGAAACGAGCTCAAATTGTGTTGATTCTCACACTCCTTTGGAGCGGTTGGGTTGGTTTGTTTTGTTAGGAGGGGTTGGGGGTTATAGGGAGTGGAATTCGTCAAATTTGCAATCTGAGAATAATAAGACCTTATGAGAAACAAGCAGTTTGAATGTCATTAGGAGCAGTAACACTGAGATACAGTATTCTTCGTACCCTGAAATCACGTGAAGCATACAAAGCCAAATTAGTAATGATAATCACCTCAAGGTTCCGAATCCAAAAACTCTCCACAAATCCAAAAAGTGTTTTGGTGTGTAGTGTTGTAGTAGTAGTAACAGTAATAATAATAGAAATAGTTGTAGACTGGTAGTAGTAGAAGATCCGGAGATTTTGATCAGTGTGACACCAAAAAGAAAGCTAAGTTAAAGAGAGATAAAGGTATCCAAATGGGATACTCTGCAATCATCAAAGCAACATATTTGCTCCTTGTTGGCGAGAGATCTTGAGTCAAAGATGGAAACTCAATAAAGAAAAGGTCAAAAAATTAAAAAAACAAAAACAAAAACAAAATCACACAAACTATTATAAGACTTAAAAAAATATTGCAAATACTAGTCCTTAAAAGTTAAAACCCCACATTCATCATAACCAAAACCCGAACAAACTCCTCTGGAACACCGACCCCATTTGATCAAAAGATTCAAAAAAACATGAAGAGAGAGAAAGACAGAATCAGATCGTCTAGAGATTGGTGAGTTCATAGTTCGACAAACGGGACGACCACCGCTTTCCAAAAGATGCTCTTCTCTATTTATTCACTTTGTAAACCACCAACAAAACTTACGATTAGCCCAAGACACTATGTGTTATATTTGCTATTATACATGCACTGTTTATCCCTTCACGCGATCTCCTTTTACGTGAATTTTATAAACACCCTTTCATGTGTCTCTTCTCTCCACTATCATATCAACGCTCTGTTTATGAGAGTGGGATGTATTACAGCTTGCTCTAATGCCTATAAATATTCGAGTAATTAATGAGGATCTGTTTATACCCTATTTAATAAACAAACTCTGGGATTTGCTTAATCTAATCATTCATCTCATCTAAAACCTTCAAATAATTAAGGTTCACCGCCTCATTGTTATTCTCTACATGCATGCTCATTAATGATGATGTGTTGTGGCTCGTTAGATTTGGTGGGACCTGATTTGTTTTGTTCCACTTTTCCAAGGTAAATAAAGGAGGATCGTATCTGATTTGCCTTGTAAATAATAATCATTAATCATAATCCTCTTCACTAATCAAGAAAATGCATGCCCACCCACTAGGCGTCGTGGAGAGATTGCATGCATGCATGCAAATGTGTTATTAAACAAGCCCTTGAGACTCTAAATTAATAATGAGCTTTGAACACTGTATTGTTGAGCACATAAAAATACATTCCTCAAAAGCAACAAGATACAACTGGAATGTCTCTCTCCCCTCTCTATATCTGTGTTTGTGTGGGTTTGAAGGATTTCAAATGTTTTTTTTTTTTTTTTTTTTGTTGGAATATGAAAGGATTTGGAATTGGAATTGTTCTAGTGATTTTGTTGTTGACAGGATGTTTCTTTCTTTCCAATGCCAGGTAAGATTAAAGTAATAATATTAAAATAAGATAGAGAAAAGTTAAAGGGTTAGAGAGATAAGATGACCCCAATTGACCCAGATTTATAAAGGAACTCGTGCCTTGTAGGAGAAACCCCTCATAAGCCGTCCTTAAAAAGATACTTACTGTCAGTATCAATATTCACACCTTAGACTCACTGTAACCTCTAATTGTCCCCTCTAAGGAAATCTAAAGATATTCAGACTGAATAGCTTCAAATATAGCTAGCTCTGAATAAATTTTCCACTTTACGTCTTTCAAACCTTCCAACTATTTTCTTATCTAAAGATTTAACACTTCTTTCTCCTTTATCCTTCCCTTCCCACTGTAAAAAGATTAAGGTACAGTTCCAGTAAATCTCACAACTGATGAAGCTACTGTAAAAAATACTAAAAAAACTCCTTACTTCTATTTCCAAGTACGATTATTAATAAGCTTTAAAACTGTATCTATACAAATAATTGTTATGTGTCGTTTGTGGTAAATCAATTTGTACTTTGTATTTTGAATGTCAAACATGTAGTATATGGATTATCTCATGCCTGGCCATGCCTGCTCATTTAATCCCTTCTGCTGTGCTGAAATTTCAGTGGCACTAATAGGGTAACTCTTTATCCATTGTGTATATTATCTCCTTTATCCACTTAAGAAATTATGATCAATTAGTTGCTCCCATAGATAACATTATTAATCAAACGAATATTATAGCCCAACCTATGATAATATCATCTCAGATTATATCTTGTTGTGACAACAATAAATAAATGAGGAGATGATATATTATTTATATAGAATGATAAATGATTAAATTAATAGTTTTTGAGATAAAATTTTGGCAGTATAATATTGGTGAAGTAGGTATGAAGTCTAAGCACATGCCTTAATACTAACACATTGATAATATGAGGGTTAAAAAGAGCTAAAATCTATATCTTAAATTCTTAATTATATTCAACTCATAAAAGTAAGAGTCATGCTTTAACATGTGATTTTAAAATGCAATATTAAAAATTATACATAATAATCTTTGAAGTATAAGATTAATACCTGTGATTCATGATAAAGGGTGCTAAATGTGAGATAAAGTAAGGTAATGGGTTTGAATTGACTGTATAACACTGTAGAAAAAACAAATAATTAAACTGGTGGTTGTATTATATATCTAAGCTCGATCTTATATAAAGTTGGATCAGAAGTTTTTCATGAATCAATAAAAAAAAAAAAAAGCCAGCGGACACCTGGCGTTAAGAAAATAATTCATCTTAATGCAATGGAAGTAGGAAACAAGATTTCTTTTGATCAAAATAAGATTCGAAGCTGTAGAATGCCTCAATCTTGGGAGAGGTATCATTCACTTGGATCTAGTCTTCCTACATCAGTACATGTTCTTTACGTGACTGTTTATTTTTGTCCCTCTTATAATAATAACTTCTTTCTCTTTATCACTTTGAATCTAATTCATACCTTTTGCAGATGACTAAAGAATGTTAATAGAACTACTTATTTCTTTGGAAGAATCATTCAACTTCGTATCATTTTTTTTTTTTTTTTTTTTGTCCAGTAGACTGAATTGACTATTAATTAATTCATATACTTTTAGACTTTAACTTAGCCAATTTCCCATCTTGGGTTGTGAATTGTGGTTTTGCAGTCTTTATCCAATGAGAAATCCCTCTTGGCTTGTCCCATAAATTAATTACTGACCTAGAAGGCTGGATTGACAACAGATATAAACTAAAGCCATACCCCAAACTATCTCCTGGCCGTCGGTAAGCATATATATATGACAGACCATTAACCTGTTTGTTGAGCCAAAAGCTTGTCTCTCGCCTCTAGGGCTCAATGTATTAAAGATTGACCTAATATATGCTTATAAAACTCGAAACTAAAATATATTATGTTATCTATACCCAGAAATTTTAGTGTACAGCTAAATGGTATCAGTATAAAAATTTCTTCTTGGAGATACCACATTTATTAAATTTGTATATAAATAAAATGATTAATTAAGATGACTGTTGGGTTGAAAATACACAGAAAGATGCAGTGAAGGATGATGAGCTGCTGTCAAAGATTGTTGTAATTATCCAAGACTCAACAAAGAATTTTGGAAGAAGGCCTGGAACGTCCAAAAGGGTTTTAGGGTCAATAGGTTATGATGTAATGGAGTGGGGACATAATCTCTTTTATCTTCTTGCATTGTATTCACGAAATCTTGGTAAAGGACAGTTCTGTTCTGTGCCTTTCCATTGTCTCAATCAATTGGCAAATCTTAACCACATCAGCTTAGCATAACCTTCTAGCACTCCTTATCACCATCCTGTGATTAAACAGTACTGTACATAAGATTTAAATATGGCGAATTCCCGATCTCACCTAACCGCTTTCTGAGTACATCAATGATCATAGCTTTACAATGTGGATTGATAATAAAGCTTAAGCTCCATTTTAGAAACACTCAAGTATGAGAAGTGCTGCCGCCAATTGCAAATACACTTGACTTCTTTCAAGTGTAATGTTCCAAAACCTGGAAACAGATGGGGCCAATTTTGCCAGCATTGAACAATATTAGTAAACAGGAAATTAGTTCAGTGGACGATAACAGATGCAATTACTATTAACCACACAGTTGTGGGTTCAATTTTTACCACAATTCACATAATATCAGGTGGGTTTAACTAGAAATACTTATGCTACATTTAGCCAGCACAATGGTTAAATAGAAGTTAGCCCAAAGGCTAGACCTAAAACAAGTATTGAAATGCAGAGTTTGAAAACTATTCCACTATTATTCAAAATTATATACATTCCATTATTATTCAAATATGATGGATATATATTCCCTTTTTATATGTTTTTTTTTTTTTTTTATGACCAGGGTGTCCGAGTCAACTTCACGCATTTTAACTAATCTTTGGGGTCCATTGAACACTTTACAAGCCCAATGTTTTAAGATAAGCCACAAATGTGATAAACAACTTTAAGATGATTCAAACCCCAAAAAGTCAATGAAATGAGCAAACCTTCTTGATTGCCAGACTAACCTCTTGAGGTTCCCATGTTATATACTTTACCAGTATCTATGGATAAAACTTATATTAAGAAAGGACTCATATTCCTAAAATGCACATTGAGTTAAATTAAGACATAGATTCGCATAATTTACTCCATATACTTCGTGTTAGCAAACCCCCAAGTTAGAAAGAAACTCGCCTGTATGCCTTATGTAATATTAATATGGAGTAAACAACTTTTTCCCATCCAAATAATGACTTAATGATACTTTCCTACCTATAGATTTTTAAAATACCACTTTACTACCCAAATTTATATTCCGACAGTGAACAAAGAACAAACTCGATCCAGGATGTTGGGGTTTCTGAAGAGGGGAGACCGATGAGTCTTTTGGCGATGAAAAGTTAGATTTTTATGGTTGGGATTGATCGGAATTTGAATTGGGAAGGACGACTGTGTAAATCCTAATCGCTCGATTGCTCCTGATTGGCGGGAGTAGTGTTTGAGGGGGTTTTGATGAGTGATTATTGAGGAAGAGAATGGTGGTGGTGTGAGGTCGCAACGATGCTGGAATTAGAAACGGAATATAAATTGGGTAGTAAAATGAAATTTTAAAAGTCTATTGATAGAAAAGTGTCATTAAACTATTATTTAGGTGGTAAAATTCGTTTACTCTATTAATTTGTATTCAGAAGTGAGTCGGAGTAAAGATGGCAATGGACTCGGTATTTCAAGGTACTTGGCCTAGCCCGTTCCGAAAAGGTCAGGCTTTACCTGGTGTTAGCGGGCTTGAGCTTGGGCCTATGACTGATTTTAAGGCCCCCCCTTAGGTATGGGCCGAACATGGTTGTCTTCAGTCCTGGCTCGACAATTTTATTATTAATTTTACTAAATTACCCTTTATACTATATATCTAATTACAGAATTATCATATATATATTGAAATTTATTAATATTTGGTGAGTATTTAAAAACAAATTAATATTTAAGAACTATTTCTACAATTAAAAATATAAAAAATTAAAATTTATTAATATTTAAAAATGCACATTATAAAATGGGTGGGTTTAGGCCGGGGCTGAGATTATAAAAAGTTTATTGTGCTGAGCTTGAGCTTTACTTATCATCCCTGTGATAGGCCCAGGTTGGGACTGAGCCTTTGTCATGGGATCGGGCTTGGGCCTGGGCCAAGGGGTACCCGGTCCCGGCCCATTGCCATCTCTAAATTATTCTGTCGTAGTGTATTAAGTAAAACTCAATGTTAAAAGGCAGCTGGACCGAAGGTTGAGCCCAGATTTAACATTAGAATGTAATTGACCCACAACCCGGCCCAAATCCATATGGCAGCCAATTTTACAAATATTCTACGTCCCGTCTGACTACTCTGTTTCTCCCGCCACCGCTGGCACTGCTAAAACCCTAACTAAACCCCATTTTCCTGTTAAATCAACAAATAACTAACTATGGAGGCTGAAACTGCAATCACATTCACGGACTCTATGGACTTCAAGGTAAAAGAGCTTTTAAAGGAGGTCCATCTCAACCAAACTCCAACTATCACTAAGCTCGTGGACGGCACAGTTTCTGCCATTAAGAAAGTCATTAAAAAAATCCCCGACGACTTGCAGGTATGTATCTGATTATCTTCTTTGGTTTCTACTGAAGCCTTTACAAAGTTAAATTAAATATGTTTAGTATAGCTGTGGTTTATAATGTTTCTGTATATTATAATTGGGCGTTTATTTTAATGAATGAATATACAAAAAAATAGTCGGTGTATTTAAATTGTGCAGGTTACTGCGGATTTAGCTCCGGGTTTTGTGAGAGACATTGGTGCAGACAAAGTGGACTTCAAGTTTAAGAAGCCAAAATCTATTAAGATTGGTGGTAGTTATTCCATGAATTGCGTGGTTAAGCCTGACGTGAATGTGGATATTTTTGTTCACCTGCCAAAGGTATCTTATTGTTTCAAGTAATAGAATTATGTTTGGATTAATTGATATATAGGAGGGTATATATGTTCATGTTAGCTTGTGCATGATCTAAAACTAATACTGTCTAGATTAATTGATATATAGAAGGGGTATAGGGAAATATATATATGTTCATATTAGCTTGTGCATGATCTAGAACTAATACTGTCATCAGCGAACATGTATATTGCTAATTTATTAGCTTATGTATGATACAAATGTATTAATTTTGTTTTTCATTTTAATGATTTAAGAATAAATATACTTTTCAAAAGTTGAGCAGTATTAGTTGAGAGTGCCAGAAAATCCTTAAAAGACAGAGGCAACTAATAGTGGCATGGGAAAGAATTTGGTTATGTCTATTAAACTTGTTTAATTATATTAGTATACAACTATAAGATGGTGCCAAACTATTGTAGTCTTTGTAAAGGTGGGATGAGATCAGGTTTTACTCTTTTTGTTAATTGCAGAATAATAAATTAAAGCTTTGAGACAGTATAGAATGAAAAATAATTGGGTTGTAAACAACCTGATAATAGCTTCTTTCTCCGCTAACTACTTTGAGGTACATATATCAGTGTTAGTTCTAAGTTAGTTTATTTCTGAGAGCTTTTCCCTTGAAACAGGAGTGTTTTCATGAGAAAGACTATTTAAATCACCGGTATCATGCCAAAAGATGCCTTTACCTCTGTGTAATTAAGAAGCATTTGAAATCCTCCCCATCATTTGATAAAGTTGAATGGTCTGTCCTGCAGAATGAGGCCCGAAAGCCTGTATTGGTTGTCCATCCAGGTTTGTTTTTCTGTGGCATAGTTTTTAGATAATGCTTGGTCATATTGCAATTATTTTGAGTGATAGTATTTTTGTATGTATATTGATTCTAACCCTTTCAACATTGTTGGAAATGGGAAAATATGATATTGTAGCTGTGAAGCCTGTTGAGGCTCCTGGAATTTATGTACGGATAATTCCTACAGCAACATCCCTGTTTAGTAGTTCAAAGTTGAGCTTGAACCGGAACAATGTCCGTGCTGTTAACCAAGGTAGAATATTGTCTTTGGTTTAGTTTATATCATTACCAACATGGTGATGCTAATCGTGCATAATTTCATCTCAAAGATGGTGTTCCTCAGCCTACGCCCAAATACAACAGTAGTATATTGGAAGACATGTTTCTGGAGGATAATGCAGAATTTGTCAATAAAACATTAAGTAGATGGAAGGAATTGGGAGAGGCTTTAATATTGCTGAAGGTATAATATCAAATTTCTGTCATTTTACTGTTGCTGCAATCACTGTCTACAAGACCCTGAAAGTATAACCTTTTGTGTTTGAGGCAGGTCTGGGCTCGGCAGAGAAGTTCAATACATGTTCACGATTGCATAAATGGATATCTAATGTCTATCTTATTGTCATACCTTGTGAGCCATGACAAGATTAACAATTCTATGAAGGCAATGCAGATACTTCGCATTGCATTAGACTTCATTGGTATGTGAAGGTTCTAAAATTTTCTTTTTTGATAACCTAGTTATGTTTAGTGCAGTTAGGCCATAAATTTGGGAAGGTGAACATTGTTTTTTAGTGCCTTGATGGTGAATGTACTGTTGAGATCAATGTTATTTCATTAATCAAGTGAACAATTTTGGGCAAAGAACATGCTTGTTTCTTCTTGAAGACAGAATAGTTCTGAATATTAATGAGCCATCATTGGCTGATTTGTTGTACAATAATTTTAAAATTCCTAATATTTTATGGAATTTGGGGAATGGATTTTTTTAATAATTCTAATATTTGTATAGGTTTGGATTTGAGTCTGTTTGTGGAATCTGTTCACCAGTTAATTACTTTTACTGACAATTTTCAGTATTGTCAGCTATTTCATTATCAAACAATACAAAGTTCAGTAGTGTCTATCTGTTGTCTTAATACAGTAACACCAACTGTTCTCATCTTTTGCAGCCACCTCAAAATTGTGGAACCGTGGGCTTTACTTTCCACCACAAGCCCAGAGCAAAGTTTCAAAGGAGGTCTGCTGCTTCCTAGTTCCTTCTAATATGAAGATGTAGTTTTTACTATCTTCACTTGTTTATGCTCTGTGCTCTGATCACCACTGTCTTTCTTGTCCTATCTCATTCCTTTTTAGTTTAGTCTAATTTCAGATGGAAACTTCTGTTTGCATTATCACAAATACATGCATTGTTTCATCAATTTTATTTATTTATTTATTTTTTGTAAATATTTATTTACTATGAGGTTTTGGTTGCAGGAAAAGATGCAATATAGAGAAATTTTTCCAGTAGTGATATGCGATCCATCCACTCAGATCAATTTGGCTTTTAGGATGACAAGTGTTGGTTTCTCTGAGGTATTATTAACCGGTGTATTTAACTGCTTGATTAATTATAGTATAAAAAGTGGTTCTCTTGTTAGATTCCGGATCTTTTTGGAGTAGATAACAATTGCGTGAAGATTTCTTCTTCCTTTATTCAGCTCCAAGATGAGGCTGCTTTGACACTTCAATGCATAGACCGATGCAGAGATGGTGGATTTGAGGAGATGTTTCTGACCAAGATTGACTATCCTGCTAAATTTGATTACTGTGTTAGGTATATTGATTTACTCTTATATTTTGTGTAGGCATGGTTGATATAAAATTTGGAAGTCCACAAAAACTTAGTCTGATTTTGATATTATCCAAGTATTGTTTTGAAAAAGGAAGTTATTACCTTTACGAGACTGACCATTAGTTGCAGTGCTTTAGTCTGGTCTTGGCCAAGGCCTGGTAACCTGGAAATCATACGGTCAGCACAGTTTTATAACAATGTTCAAACAGCTTCTGCTTTTTGAATTGGGTTCAATTTGCATTTCTTAACTCAATAGTTTTTGGCATGAAAATGCTCACAAGTGTTTTACCCAAGCATTAGCTAATTGTCAAAAAAACTCAGCTCCTAGTTCTGGTTTGTTCAATTATTGTGTGATATTTTCTTTATCTGTATTCTTTTACTGCATAATAGCCTTATTGCTTTTTTTCTTTTTAAATATTTTCCCTTTTCAGATTGAATTTGAAGGGACGTACGGAGGTTCATGCGTTGGGATTTTGCTTGGATGATGAATGTTGGAGATCTTATGAGCAGAAGGTGCATAGCCTGCTGAATCAAGGATTGGGTGATAGAGTAAAGTTTATTCGTGTTACTTGGAGAAATGCTCTTTCTGAGTGCATTATTGAAAATGTATGTATCAATTTTACACTCTTATTTTCTTGATAATTGTATAGATGTTTCTGATTGTTTTTGGATTCCAGGGTTTATCCATACTTGACAAAGAGCCCCTGCTTATCGGCATCTCATTGAGCACTCCTGAGAAAGTTTTTAGGGTAGTTGACATTGGTCCAAATGCTGAAAATAAAGAGGAGGTATTTGAGTTTAGTGGTTAAATATTTTAAAGTTTTTTCTTTTGATCAATTATTAATTTTACTCACTTTTTGCGTTAGGCTCTCAGGTTTCGAAGGTTTTGGGGGGAGAAGGCGGAGCTTCGGAGGTACAAAGATGGTACTATTGCAGAAAGCACAGGTGAGGCGTCTATCGTGCTTCTTTTAGCTGCAGTTGGTTTAGTTTATCCAGGTGCATATGATTCATAAGACCACTTTATTTCCAATTACAGTATGGGAAAGTGAGCAGTGGACAAGACATCTCATTTTGAAAAGAATTATTGAGTATGTTTTTCAGCGACATCTTTCTCTACCAAAAGAAAATATAGTGCAAATAGTTGATCAACTGGATTTCTCTCTTCTTCATGGTTCTAAAGGTGATTGTATAGACCATTAACTCCTGTTAGTTTTTGTTATTTTCTTCTTTCAGGGTTGCTTTCTTTTCTCCTCACATAAGAACAATTTTTTTTTGCTCAAAACAAAATGTTATTATTTTCTCAGATCCTGTATCACTTTCGGGAGGTTTACTTGAGGCATTTGAAGTCTTATCAAAGCGCTTGCGTCTTATTGAAGATATCCCCTTGAAGATTTCTAGCGTGCAACCTTTAGACTCGGGTAATTTCTCTTAGCATCATAAACTTTTGTATGTTTAATCATATTTTATTGGTTTGCTGCTGTGGTTTTTGCTTGTCACGGTTCTATCAGTTTGCTATGCCATCATTATATCGTGATCATAGCTGAGATATAAATTTATACACCATAATTAGAGCATATATGCCTTTGTGAGGAATTGTTAGTGGTACACAACATCAACAACTATAAATAGTTGGATGGAGGGGGAAAATGCTAATTCCTGATAGGTTTCATTTGCTTGTGTGATTTTATTCTCCATGAATTTATGATCTTTCTTAACCTCTTGTCATCCTCACCTTTGGCCAAAATTGTCGTATGCTTAACATTATGTAGATGTAGATTAGCTATGGGTGTCTATTTCCTTGGAGTTTAAAGAAGTCTCCTTGTGGTTAATCTTCAAATTTGGGAAGCTTCAATAGCCTAACCTTAAAAGGGCTCTTTTGAAGTTAAGGGTTTCAGTTATTTATAGTTTATGAGCTGACATTTCCTTTCATATATAGTTTATGGAACAGGGTTTGAAGGGCTCTTTGGAAGTTAAGGGTTTCAGTCATTTATAGCTTATGAGCCGACTTTTCTTTTTATATATAGTTTATGAAACCTTTCGGGGTTTTTAGGACAGCATGTTGTAAGTTCATACTTTTAGAAAAATTAGTAACTTTGGATGCTTGGTTATTATATTGAGAATTTGAATTCCTTGAAATCTTGTAGTAAAGTAGGTCTTTCAGTTGGCTTTATATTTCGTAGCCTTTCCAAATTTTCACCCATGTTGCCAGTACAATTCATGTATGTTTGTCATTTTTCAGCATTCAGATTTACATCTGTGTTTCCTCCTGAACCTCATCCACTGGCTAATGAAAAACTTAATGTTTCAAGAATACAAAAGCTTACCCCATCTTGCATTCAGCCGCTGGAAGTTATGATTCAGGCATGGTTCTCTATTCCTGAAGTCATTTCTTTATACATCAATTTTTTTTTTCTTCTAATTTTTTTTTTTTTTTCTGTGATCTAGTTGGAAGGTTCTGGGAATTGGCCAATGGACCATGTCGCAATAGAAAAAACTAAATCAGCTTTCCTTATTCAAATTGGAGAGAGGTACACCAGGCTTAGCTTTCTTTGGTCGTTTGCTAAACCCACATGCACATCCACACACACGCATGCAACATACCTGCACACATGTGAGCACATACACTCACATAAATATATATTGAATGCCATCTCTGATGATGGTTTTGTGGCAGTCTCCATAACAGATGGCGGATGACATGTACAGCTACTGAGGATGATGTTGATGTTCTGATGTCTGGATATTCATTCCGTCTGAAAATTTTGCATGAAAGAGGGCTGAGTTTGGTGAAAAGGGAAAGTAAGAATAATTGAATATACAATCTATTCACATTTTTCCTCGTCAACTTCTTAACTTCTTATGATGTTTGTTTTCCTGAATCCATTTCGAATTATAGTTGGAAATCAAGCAAAGCAGATTTATTCTACAGATAGGGTTCTTTTTATTCGTGGTCAACATGCAAGCATGATCAATGGATTACAGGGTCGTTACCCAGTCTATGGCCCAGTTGTTAGGTGAGTTTTGTTGAATATATAGTAACCTGATTTGTCCAATTTTCCTTCTTTGATGTTTTCAGTTTTGATATGAAAAAAAATATTTGAACCTTCTGGAACAGAAATAAATTGTATTAACTTTATTTCTTTTTGATATATTGAAGGCTTGCAAAACGATGGGTGGCTTCACATCTTTTTTCTGCATGCTTGATGGAGGAGGCTGTTGAACTATTGGTTGCATATCTTTTTTTGAAGCATTTACCATTTAATGTTCCATGCTCGCGGGTCACTGGATTTTTAAGGTTTAGTTCTTATTGTTATTTACTGTCTGTATTTTATTATGAATATATATTTAGTGGTTAGCATTTATTTTATTTGCTTTTTTCTTTAATACTCTGATTCTCAAAGTTATGTCGTTCTTTCTTTTATCAGCAATCCTTTTAGTGTGTATTAAGATAAGACACTACCTCCAGACACACACCCGCACGTATAAACAATGTGAGGCTTCGATTTAGTTCGTTATCTCAGTTTTATGACTGCCCATCCTGATTCAATTCCAAACCTAGCCACTGCCCTTTTGCAACATGTGTTTAGTATTCTGTAATTATCTTTTGTTGTTACAATATTGTGATGTTTGACATATTCCAAACTCAACACAGGAACATGTAAAACAAGTTAAAAGCATGTATTTAGTCATTTTTTATTTCATTAAACTGAAATATCTTAGGTAAAATTATGTTGAATTTTGTCATTCCCTGTAAGTTTTTGTCCTGTGCTAATGGATTGGGGGGAGAGTAGTGTTGAGGGGGTTTTGATGAGTGATTATTGAGGAGAGATGGTGGTGTGTGAGGTCGCAACGATGTGGAATTAGAAACGGAATATAAATTGGGTAGTAAAATGAATTTTAAAAGTATATGATAGAAAAGTGTCATTAAACTATTATTTAGGTGGTAAAATTCGTTTACTCTATTAATATGTATTCAGAAGTGGTCGGAGTAGAGTGGCAATGGGACCGGTATTTCAAGGTACTTGGCCTAGCCCGTTCCAAAAGGTCAGGCTTTACCTGGTGTTAGCGGGCTTGAGCTGGCCTATGACTGATTTAAGGCCCCCTTGGTAGGGGCCGACATGGTTGTCTTCAGTCCTGGCTCGACAATTTTATTATTAATTTTACTAAATTACCCTTATACTATATATCTAATTACAGAATATAAATATATATATGAATTATAATATTTGGTGATGTATTTAAAACAAATTAATATTTAAGAACTATTTCTACAATTAAAAATATAAAAAATTAAATTATTAATATTTAAAAATGCACTTATAAAATGGGTGGGTTGGCCGGGCTGAGATTAAAAAATTATTGGTGAGCTTGAGCTTTACTATATCCCTGATAGGCCCAGGTTGGGACTGAGCCTTTGTCATGGGATCGGGCTTGGGCCTGGGCCAAGGGTACCCGGTCCCGGCCCATTGCCATCTCTAAATTATTCTGTCGTAGTGTATTAGTAAAACTCAATGTTAAAAGGCAGCTGGACCGAAGGTTGAGCCCAGATTTAACTTAGAATGTAATTGACCCACAACCGGCCCAAATCCATATGCAGCCAATTTTACAAATATTCTACGTCCCGTCTGACTACTCTTTTTCTCCCGCCACCGCTGGCACTGCTAAAACCCTAACTAAACCCCACTTTCCTGTTAAATCAACAAATAACTAACTATGGAGGTGAAACTGCAATCACATCACGGACTCTATGGACTTCAAGGTAAAAGAGCTTTTAAAGGAGGTCCATCTCAACCAAACTCCTACTATCACTAAGTCGTGGACGACACAGTTTCTGCCATTAAGAAAGTCATCAAAAAAATCCCCGAGACTTGCAGGTATGTATCTGATTATCTTCTTTGGTTTCTACCGAGCCTTTACAAAGTTAAATTAATATGTTTTTATAGCTGTGGTTTATAATGTTTCTGTATATTATAATTGGGCATTTATTTTAATGAATGATATACAAAAAAATAGTCGGTGTATTTAAATTGTGCAGGTTATGCGGATTTAGCTCCGGGTTTTGTGAGAGACATTGGTGCAGACAAAGTGGACTTCAAGTTTAAGAAGCCAAAATCTATTAAGATTGGTGTAGTTATTCCATGAATTGCGTGGTGAAGCCTGACGTGAATGTGGATATTTTTGTTACCTGCCAAAGGTATCTTATTGTTTCAAGTAATAGAATTATGTTGGATTAATTGATATAAGGAGGGTATATATGTTCATGTTAGTGTGCATGATCTAAAACTAATACTGTCTAGATTAATTGATATATAGAAGGGGTATAGGGAAATATATATATGTTCTATTAGCTTGTGCATGATCAGAACTAATACTGTCATCAGGGAACAGTTATTGCTAATTTATTAGCTTATGTATGATACAAATGTATAATTTTGTTTTTCATTTAAGATTTAAGAATAAATATACTTTTCAAAATTGAGCAGTATAGTGAGGTGGCAGAAAATCCTTAAAAGACAGAGGCAACAATAGTGGCATGGGAAAGAATTTGGTTATGTCTATTAAACTTGTTAATTATATTAGTATACAACTATAAGATGGTGCCAAACTTGTAGTCTTTGTAAAGGTGGGATGAGATCAGGTTTTACTCTTTTTGTTAATGCAGAATAATAAATTAAAGCTTTGAGACAGTATAGAATGAAAAATAATTGGTGTTGTAAGCAACCTGATAATAGCTTCTTCCTCTGTAACTACTTTGAGGTATATATCAGTGTTAGTTCTAAGTTGTTATTTCTGAGAGCTTTTCCCTTGAAACAGGAGTGTTTTCATGAGAAAGACTATTTAAATCACGGTATCATGCCAAAAGATGCCTTTACTGTGTAATTAAGAAGCATTTGAAATCCTCCCCATCATTGATAAAGTTGAATGGTCTGTCCGCAGAATGAGGCCCGAAGCCTGTATGGTTGTCCATCCAGGTTTGTTTTCTGTGGCATAGTTTTTAGATAATGCTTGGTCCTATTGCAATTATTTTGAGTGATAGGATTTTGTCGTATATTGATTCTAACCCTTTCAACATTGTTGGAAATGGGAAAATATGATATTGTAGCTGTGAAGCCTGTTGAGGCTCCTGGAATGTACGGATAATTCCTACAGCAACATCCCTGTTAGTATTCAAAGTTGAGCTTGAACCGGAACAATGTCCGTGCTGTTAACCAAGGTAGAATATTGTCTTTGGTTTGTTATATCATTACCAACATGGTGATGCTAATCGTGCATAATTTCATCCAAAGATGGTGTTCCTCAGCCTACCCCAAATACAACAGTAGTATATGGAAGACATGTTTCTGGAGGATAATGCAGAATTTGTCAATAAAACATTAAGTAGATGGAAGGAATGGGAGAGGCTTTAATTGCTGAAGGTATATATCAAATTCTGTCATTTTACGTTGCTGCAATCACTGTATACAAGACCCTGAAAGTATAACCTTTTGTGTTGAGGCAGGTCTGGGCTCGGCAGAGAAGTTCAATACATGTTCACGATTGCATAAATGGATATCTAATGTATCTTATTGTCATACCTTGTGAGCCATGACAAGATTAACAATCTATGAAGGCAATGCAGATACTTCGCATTGCATTAGACTCATTGGTATGTGAAGGTTCTAAAATTTTCTTTTTTGATAACCAGTTATGTTTAGTGCCGTTAGGCCATAAATTTGGGAAGGTGTGAACTTGTTTTTTAGTGCCTTGATGGTGAATGTACTGTTGAGATCAATGTTATTTCATTAATCAAGTGAACAATTTTGGGCAAAGAACATGCTTGTTTCTTCTTGAAGACAGAATAGTTCTGAATATTAATGAGCCATCATTGGCTGATTTGTTGTACAATAATTTTAAAATTCCTAATATTTTATGGAATTTGGGGAATGGATTTTTTTAATAATTCAATATTGTATAGGTTGGATTGAGTCTGTTTGTGGAATCTTTCACCAGTTAATTACTTCTACTGACAATTTTCAGTATTGTCAGCTATTTCATTATCAAACAATACAAAGTTCAGTAGTGTCTATCTGTTGTCTTAATACAGTAACACTAACTGTTCTCGTCTTTTGCAGCCACCTCAAAATTGTGGAACGTGGGCTTTACTTTCCACCACAAGCCCAGCAAAGTTTCAAAGGAGGTCTGTGCTTCCTAGTTCCTTTAATATGAAGATGTAGTTTTTACTATCTCAATTGTTTATGTCTGTGCTCTGATCACCACTGTCTTTCTTGTCCTATCTCATTCCTTTTTAGTTTAGTCTAATTTCAGATGGAAATTTGTTTGCATTATCAAATACATGGATTGTTTCATCAATTTTATTTATTATTATTTTTTGTAAATATTATTTACTATGAGCTTTTGGTTGCAGGAAAAGATGCAATATAGAGAAATTTTTCCGTAGAGTGATATGCGATCCATCCACTCAGATCAATTTGGCTTTTAGGATGACAAGTGTTGGTTTCTCTGAGGTATTATTAACGGTGTATTTAACTGCTTGATTAATTATAGTATAAAAAGTGGTTCTCTTGTTAGATTCCGGATCTTTTGGAGTAGATAACAATTGCGTGAAGATTTCTTCTTCTTTATTCAGCTCCAAGATGAGGCGCTTTGACACTTCAATGCATGACCGATGCAGAGATGGTGGATTTGAGGAGATGTTTCGACCAAGATTGACTATCCTGCTAAATTTGATTACTGTGTTAGGTATATTGATTACTCTTATATTTTGTGTTGGCATGGTTGATATAAAATTTGGAAGTCCACAAAAAATTAGTCTGATTTGATACTATCAAGTATTGTTTTGAAAAAGGATGTTTTACCTTACCAGACTGACCATTAGTTGCACTGCTTTAGTCTGTCTTGGCCAAGGCCTGGTAACCTGGAAATCATACGGTCAGCACAGTTTTATAACAATGTTCAAACAGCTTCTGCTTTTTGAATTGGGTTCAATTTGCATTTCTTAACTCAATAGTTTTTGGCATGAAAATGCTCACAGTGTTTTACCCAAGCATTAGCTAATTGTCAAAAAAACTCAGCTCCTAGTTCTGGTTTGTTCAATTATTGCTGATATTTTTTTTATCTGTATTCTTTACTGCATAATAGCCTTATGCTTTTTCTTTTTAAATATTTTCCTTTTCAGATTGAATTTGAAGGGACGTACGGAGGTTCATGCGTTGGGATTTTGCTTGGATGATGAATGTTGGAGATCTTATGAGCAGAAGGTGCATAGCCTGCTGAATCAAGGTTGGGTGATAGAGTAAAGTTTATTCGTGTTACTTGAGAAATGCTCTTTCTGAGTGCATATTGAAAAGTATGTATCAATTTTTTCACTCTTATTTTCTGATAATTGTATAGATGTTTCTGATTGTTTTCGGATTCCAGGGTTTATCCATACTTGACAAAGAGCCCCTGCTTATTCGGCATCTCATTGAGCACTCCTGAGAAAGTTTTTAGGTAGTTGACATTGGTCCAAATGCTGAAAATAAAGAGGAGGTATTTGAGTTTAGCGGTTAAATATTTTGAAGTTTTTTCTTTTGATCAATTATTAATTTACTCACTTTTTGCGTTAGGCTCTCAGGTTTCGAAGGTTCTGGGGGGAGAAGGCAGAGCTTCGGAGGTACAAAGATGGTACTATTGCAGAAAGCACAGGTGAGGCGTCTATCGTGCTTCTTTAGCTGCAGTTGGTTTAGTTTATCCAGGTGCATATGATTCATAAGACCACTTTATTCCAATTACAGTATGGGGAAGTGAGCAGTGGACAAGACATCTCATTTTGAAAAGAATTATTGAGTATGTTTTTCAGCGACATCTTTCTCTACCAAAAGAAAATATAGTGCAAATAGTTGATCAACTTGATTTCTCTCTTCTTCATGGTTCTAAAGGGATTGTTAGACCATTAACTGCTGTTAGTTTTGTTATTTTCTTCTTTCAGGGTTGCTTTCTTTTCTCCTCACATAAGAAACAAAGTTTAATACCTGTGATTCATGATAAAGGGTGCTAAATGTGAGATAAAGTAAGGTAATGGGTTTGAATTGACTGTATAACACTGTGGAAAAAAACAAATAATTAAACTGGTGGTTGTATTATATATCTAAGCTCGATCTTATATAAAGTTGGATCAGAAGTTTTTCATGAATCAATAAAAAAAAAAAAAGCCAGCGGACACCTGGCGTTAAGAAAATAATTCATCTTAATGCAATGGAAGTAGGAAACAAGATTTCTTTTGATCAAAATAAGATTCGAAGCTGTAGAATGCCTCAATCTTGGGAGAGGTATCATTCACTTGGATCTAGTCTTCCTACATCAGTACATGTTCTTTACGTGACTGTTTATTTTTGTCCCTCTTATAATAATAACTTCTTTCTCTTTATCACTTTGAATCTAATTAATACCTTTTGCAGATGACTAAAGAATGTTAATATAACTACTTATTTCTTTGGAAGAATCATTCAACTTCGTATCATTTTTTTTTTTTTTTTTTTTGTCCAGTAGACTGAATCTGACTATTAATTAATCTCATATACTTTTAGCACTTTAACTTAGCCAATTCTCCCATCTTGGGTTGTGAATTGTGGTTTTGCAGTCTTTATCCAATGAGAAATCCCATCTTGGCTTGTCCCATAAATTAATTACTGACCTCAGAATGGCTGAGATTGACAACAGATATAAACTAAAGCCATACCCCAAACTATCTCCTGGCCGTCGGTAAGCATATATATATGACATGACCATTAACCTGTTTGTTGAGCCAAAAGCTTGTCTCTCGCCTCTAGGGCTCAATGTATTAAAGATTGACCTAATTATATGCTTAATAAAAACTCGAAACTAAAATAATTATTATGTTATCTATACCCAGAAATTTTAGTGTACAGCTAAATGGAATATATCAGTATAAAAATTTCTTCTTGTAGATATCCACATTTATTAAATTTGTATATAAATAAAATGATTAATTAAGATGAGTGTTGGCTTGAAAATACACAGAAAGATGCAGTTGAAGGATGATGAGCTGCTGGTCAAAGATTGTTGTAATTATCCAAGACTCCAACAATTAATTTTGGAAGAAGGCAACGGAAAAGTCCAAAAGGGTTTTAGGGTCAATAGGTTATGATGTAATGGAGTGGGGACATAATCTCTTTTATCTTCTTGCATTGTATTCACGAAATCTTGGTAAAGGACAGTTCTGTTCTGTGCCTTTCCATTGTCTCAATCAATTGGCAAATCTTAACCACATCAGCTTAGCATAACCTTCTAGCACTCCTTATCCCCATCCTGTGATTAAACAGTACTGTACATAAGATTTAAATATGGCGAATTCCCGATTTCACCTAACCGCTTTCTGAGTACATCAATGATCTTAGCTTTACAATGTGGATTGATAATAAAGCTTAAGCTCCATTTTAGAAACACTCAAGTATGAGAAGTGCTGCCGCCAATTGCAAATACACTTGACTTCTTTCAAGTGTAATGTTCCAAAACCTGGAAACATATGGGGCCAATTTTGCCAGCATTGGACAATATTAGTAAACAGGAAATTAGTTCAGTGGACGATAACAGATGCAATTACTATTAACCACACAGTTGTGGGTTCAATTTTTACCACAATTCACATAATATCAGGTGGGTTTAACTAGAAATACTTATGCTACATTTAGCCAGCACAATGGTTAAATAGAAGTTAGCCCAAAGGCTAGACCTAAAACAAGTATTGAAATGCAGAGTTTGAAAACTATTCCACTATTATTCAAAATTATATACATTCCATTATTATTCAAATATGATGGATATATATTCCCTTTTTATATGTTTTTTTTTTTTTTTTATGACCAGGGTGTCCGAGTCAACTTCACGCATTTTAACTAATCTTTGGGGTCCATTGAACACTTTACAAGCCCAATGTTTTAAGATAAGCCACAAATGTGATAAACAACTTTAAGATGATTCAAACCCCAAAAAGTCAATGAAATGAGCAAACCTTCTTGATTGCCAGACTAACCTCTTGAGGTTCCCATGTTATATACTTTACCAGTATCTATGGATAAAACTTATATTAAGAAAGGACTCATATTCCTAAAATGCACATTGAGTTAAATTAAGACATAGATTCGCATAATTTACTCCATATACTTCGTGTTAGCAAACCCCCAAGTTAGAAAGAAACTCGCCTGTATGCCTTATGTAATATTAATATGGAGTAAACAACTTTTTCCCATCCAAATAATGACTTAATGATACTTTCCTACCTATAGATTTTTAAAATACCACTTTACTACCCAAATTTATATTCCGACAGTGAACAAAGAACAAACTCGATCCAGGATGTTGGGGTTTCTGAAGAGGGGAGACCGATGAGTCTTTTGGCGATGAAAAGTTAGATTTTTATGGTTGGGATTGATCGGAATTTGAATTGGGAAGGACGACTGTGTAAATCCTAATCGCTCGATTGCTCCTGATTGGCGGGAGTAGTGTTTGAGGGGGTTTTGATGAGTGATTATTGAGGAAGAGAATGGTGGTGGTGTGAGGTCGCAACGATGCTGGAATTAGAAACGGAATATAAATTGGGTAGTAAAATGAAATTTTAAAAGTCTATTGATAGAAAAGTGTCATTAAACTATTATTTAGGTGGTAAAATTCGTTTACTCTATTAATATGTATTCAGAAGTGAGTCGGAGTAAAGATGGCAATGGACTCGGTATTTCAAGGTACTTGGCCTAGCCCGTTCCGAAAAGGTCAGGCTTTACCTGGTGTTAGCGGGCTTGAGCTTGGGCCTATGACTGATTTTAAGGCCCCCCCTTAGGTATGGGCCGAACATGGTTGTCTTCAGTCCTGGCTCGACAATTTTATTATTAATTTTACTAAATTACCCTTTATACTATATATCTAATTACAGAATTATCATATATATATTGAAATTTATTAATATTTGGTGAGTATTTAAAAACAAATTAATATTTAAGAACTATTTCTACAATTAAAAATATAAAAAATTAAAATTTATTAATATTTAAAAATGCACATTATAAAATGGGTGGGTTTAGGCCGGGGCTGAGATTATAAAAAGTTTATTGTGCTGAGCTTGAGCTTTACTTATCATCCCTGTGATAGGCCCAGGTTGGGACTGAGCCTTTGTCATGGGATCGGGCTTGGGCCTGGGCCAAGGGGTACCCGGTCCCGGCCCATTGCCATCTCTAAATTATTCTGTCGTAGTGTATTAAGTAAAACTCAATGTTAAAAGGCAGCTGGACCGAAGGTTGAGCCCAGATTTAACATTAGAATGTAATTGACCCACAACCCGGCCCAAATCCATATGGCAGCCAATTTTACAAATATTCTACGTCCCGTCTGACTACTCTTTTTCTCCCGCCACCGCTGGCACTGCTAAAACCCTAACTAAACCCCACTTTCCTGTTAAATCAACAAATAACTAACTATGGAGGCTGAAACTGCAATCACATCCACGGACTCTATGGACTTCAAGGTAAAAGAGCTTTTAAAGGAGGTCCATCTCAACCAAACTCCTACTATCACTAAGCTCGTGGACGACACAGTTTCTGCCATTAAGAAAGTCATCAAAAAAATCCCCGACGACTTGCAGGTATGTATCTGATTATCTTCTTTGGTTTCTACCGAAGCCTTTACAAAGTTAAATTAAATATGTTTTTTATAGCTGTGGTTTATAATGTTTCTGTATATTATAATTGGGCGTTTATTTTAATGAATGAATATACAAAAAAATAGTCGGTGTATTTAAATTGTGCAGGTTACTGCGGATTTAGCTCCGGGTTTTGTGAGAGACATTGGTGCAGACAAAGTGGACTTCAAGTTTAAGAAGCCAAAATCTATTAAGATTGGTGGTAGTTATTCCATGAATTGCGTGGTGAAGCCTGACGTGAATGTGGATATTTTTGTTCACCTGCCAAAGGTATCTTATTGTTTCAAGTAATAGAATTATGTTTGGATTAATTGATAAATAGAAGGGTATATATGTTCATGTTAGCTGGTGCATGATCTAAAACTAATACTGTCTAGATTAATTGATATATAGAAGGGGTATAGGGAAATATATATATGTTCATATTAGCTTGTGCATGATCTAGAACTAATACTGTCATCAGTGAACATGTATATTGCTAATTTATGAGCTTATGTATGATACAAATGTATTAATTTTGTTTTTCATTTTAATGATTTAAGAATAAATGTACTTTTCAAAACTTGAGCAGCATTAGTTGAGAGTGCCAGAAAATCCTTAAAAGACGGAGGCAACTAATAGTGGCATGGGAAAGAATTTGGTTATGTCTATTAAACTTGTTTAATGATATTAGTATACAACTATAAGATGGTGCCAAACTGTTGTAGTCTTTGTAAAGGTGGGATGAGATCAGGTTTTACTCTTTTTGTTAATTGCAGAGTAATAAATTAAAGCTTTGAGACAGTATAGAATGAAAAATAATTTGGTTGTAAACAACCTGATAATAGCTTCTTTCTCCGCTAACTACTTTGAGGTACATATATCAGTGTTAGCTCTAAGTTAGTTTATTTCTGAGAGCTTTTCCCTTGAAACAGGAGTGTTTTCATGAGAAAGACTATTTAAATCACCGGTATCATGCCAAAAGATGCCTTTACCTCTGTGTAATTAAGAAGCATTTGAAATCCTCCCCATCATTTGATAAAGTTGAATGGTCTGTCCTGCAGAATGAGGCCCGAAAGCCTGTATTGGTTGTCCATCCAGGTTTGTTTTTCTGTGGCATAGTTTTTAGATAATGCTTGGTCATATTGCAATTATTTTGAGTGATAGTATTTTTGTATGTATATTGATTCTAACCCTTTCAACATTGTTGGAAATGGGAAAATATGATATTGTAGCTGTGAAGCCTGTTGAGGCTCCTGGAATTTATGTACGGATAATTCCTACAGCAACATCCCTGTTTAGTAGTTCAAAGTTGAGCTTGAACCGGAACAATGTCCGTGCTGTTAACCAAGGTAGAATATTGTCTTTGG